TAGACAGCAAGTCTAGGTAACAGCTATTGACAGCATGTATACACAAATTTTAAAGTTGCTATTGATTCAGTACAATGCATAAAAAGACCTTCCCTACGTCAGCTTACATATATTTAATAATACGAGGGGTGTCCCAGAATTACATGGACTTTTGCTGTAACTAAAAAACTACTGAAAATAAAAACAAACAAAAAATTAACATGAACAAAATGCAACTTAATTGCATAAGTACAAAAAAATTCAAAGTTGTCCGGCAACTGGATCAGTGTCTGTGGGCAGAGTAATGAGACAAGGGGTAGCGGATGCGGGGCAGTCCATTCCGAGAGAAAGAACAAATCGCCGGTTGAAAAAATGACCAAGCCACGCGGAAATCTCCTGGACATATTACTTGGGTTAGGGCTTTAAGCCTTATCTTGTGGAAAGAGGACCTTCTCAAGTTGTACAAAATCAAATTTGCAACGGAATTGATCAAATGGTTTTTGAATGCTAGACTCGTGAATATGATGTTTTGTCCCGAAATTTACATAGAGAAAGAACAAATCGCCGGTGCAAAAAATGACCAAGCCACGCGGAAATCTCCTGGACATATTACTTGGGTTAGGGCTTTAAGCCTTATCATGTGCAAAGAGGACCCTCTCAAGTTGTACAAAATCAAATTTGCAACGGAATTGATCAACTGGTTTTTGAATGGTAGGCTCGTGAATATGATGTTTTTTCCCGAAATTTACATAGAGAAAGAACAAATCGCCGGTGCAAAAAATGACCAAGCCACGCGGAAATCTCCTGGACATATTACTTGGGTTAGGGTTTCAGGACTTTTCATGTGCAAAGAAGACCCTCTCAAGTTGTACAAAATCGAATTTGCATTGGAATTGGTCAAATGGCTTTTGAACGGTAGGCTCGTAAAATTGATGTTTTTTTCCTAAATTAAATACAGAAAAAGCAAGTTGCTGGATAATGACCTAGCCATGCGGAAATCTCCTGGACATGTTTCTTGGGTTAGGGCTTTAAGCCTTATCATGTGGAAAGAGGACCCTCTCAAGTTGTACAAAATCAAATTTGCAAACGGAATTGATCAAATCGTTTTTTAATGGTAGGCGCGTGAATATGATGTTTTTTCGCGAAATTTACATAGAGAAAGAACAAATCGCCGGTGCAAAATATGACCAAGCCACGCGGAAATCTCCTGGACATATTACTTGGGTTAGGGCTTAAAGCATTTTCATGTGCAAAGAAGACCCTCTCAATTTGTACCAAATCTAATTTGCATTGAAATTGGTCAAATGGCTTTTAAACGGTAGGCTCGTAAAATTGATGTTTTTTTTTCCGAAATTTATATACAGAAAAAGCAAATCGGTGGAAAATGACCTAGCCATGCGGAAATCTCCTGGACATGTTTCTTGGGTTAGGGCTTTAAGCCTCATCATGTGCAAAGAAGACCCTCTCAAGTTGTACCAAATCAAATTTGCAACGGAATTGATCAAGTGGTTTTTGAATGGTAGGCGCGTGAATATGATGTTTTTTCCCGAAATTTACATAGAGAAAGAACAAATCGCTGGTGCAGAGAATGACCAAGCCACGCGGAAATCTTTTGGACATATTACTTGGGTTAGGGCTTTAGGCCTTTTCATGTTAGGGCTTTAGGCCTTTTCATGTGCAAAGAAGACCCTCTCAAGTTGTACAAAATCGAATTTGCATTGGAATTGGTCAAATGGCTTTTGAACGGTAGGCTCGTTAAATTGATGTTTTTTTTTCCCAAACTTATATACAAAAAAAGCAAATCGCTGGAAAATGACCTCGCCATGCGGAAATCTCCTGGACATGTTTCTTGTGTTAGGGCTTTAAGCGTTATCATGTGCAAAGAAGACCCTCTCAAGTTGTACAAAATCAAATTTGCAACGGAATTGATCCAGTTTTTTTTGAATGGTAGGCGCGTGAATATGATGTTTTTACCCGAAATTTACATAGAGAAAGAACAAATCGCCGGTGCAAAAAATGACCAAGCCACGCAGAAATCTCCTGGACATATTACTTGGCTTATGGCTTTAGGCCTTTTCATGTGCAAATAAAACCTCTCAAGTTGTACAAAATCAGATTTGCAACTGAATTGATCAAATGGTTGTTGAATGGTATGCTTGTGAATAAGAAGTTTTTTCCCGAAATTTACATTGAGAAAGAACAAATCGCCGGTGCTAAGAAATGACCATGCCAAGCGGAAATCTCCTGGACATATTACTTGGGTTAGGGCTTTAGGCCATTTTATGTGGAAAGAAGACCCTCTCAAGTTGTACAAAATCGAATTTGCATTGGAATTGGTCAAATGGCTTTTGAACAGTAGGCTCGTAAAATTGATGTTTTTTTCCGAAATTTATATACAGAAAAAGAAAATCGCTTGAAAATGACCTAGACATGCGGAAATCTCCTGGACATGTTTCTTCGGTAAGGGGTTTAAGCTTTATCATGTGCAAATAAACCCTCTCAAGTTGTACAAAATCAAATTTGCAAACGGAATTGATCAAATCGTTTTTGAATGGTAGGCGCGTGAATATGATGTTTTTTCACGAAATTTACATAGAGAAAGAACAAATCGCCGGTGCAAAAAATGACCAAGCCACGCGGAAATCTCCTGGACATATTACTTGGGTTAGGGCTAAAGGCATTTTCATGTGCAAAGAGGACCCTCTCAATTTGTACCAAATCGAATTTGCATTGGAATTGGTCAAATGGGTTTTGAACGGTAGGCTCGTAAAATTGATGGGTTTTTTTTCCGAAATTTATATACAGAAAAAGCAAATCGGTGGAAAATGACCTAGCCATGCGGAAATCTCCTGGACATGTTTCTTGGGTTAGGGCTTTAAGCCTCATCATGTGCAAAGAAGACCCTCTCAAGTTGTACAAAATCAAATTTGCAGCGGAATTGATCAAATGGTTTTTGAATGGTAGGCTAGTGAATATGATGTTTTTTCCCGAAATTTACATAGAGAAAGAACAAATCGCCGGTGCAAAAAATGACCAAGCCACGTGGAAATCTCCTGGACATATTACTTGGTTAGGGCTAAAGGCCTTTTCATGTGCAAAGAAGACAATCTCAAGTTGTACAAAATCAAATTTGCATTTAAATTTGTTTCCTGCAATTAGGAATAACTATATTACGAGCATTTCAAAATTCAAATTTAAACTGGATTCTTTCGTTATGGTATGGAAAGACAATTTAAGGGTTTTTTTTCCAATTTATACACAACAGTTCTGTGCTTGCCGCTGTGGAAAGTTGAATAAAGAACGTTCAGCATCGTTTATACATGTAAATTATTTCTGAAATGTTCGTGGCCTACATATGTTTATCTTAGGGACATTGTTTACTCTCAACCGTAAAACTGTATTTTTCAAAATCTGTTTTTGTTTCTAATTGTGTCTGATATTGGAAATAAGACCTATCCAGTATTGAGTATTTCTGTCCATTACCAGTGATGACATTATGAGAGGTGTCAATAGTGGTATTGCAAAGAGCCATTGCTTGACAATATAGATATCTTAACGGCAGCACTCCTTCTGCCAGTAGGTCAGTACTTGTTCATAAAGAGAATTTAGGTTCTTTAAACGTGGGTTGGTATGACTGCATAAGTTTTGACACATTTAATTTCTGTTTTAATAAGAGTTCAGCAGTAGAATTGAAAACGGTGTGATTAAGTTATAACAAAAACAAAAAAGCAATTAACATTAATTTGTTCCGCATTTTTATTTTAATCTCTACATATTTCATGTATATAATCTTCACGTGGTAAACACTTTTATCCTTTATAATTCACTTATTAGATTTAAAACCTAACAGAAGGTGGACACGTATGAATTTACATGAATTAATGCAAAGAAATACATACATTTTGTTTTTGTTTGTTTGCTTGTTTTGTTGTTGATGTTGTTGTTGTTGTTGTTTATGTTGACACACTTGTTTGATGTAATTGAAAATTGATAGCTATGTTCAATGCTTAATTAGATTTCTGAATGAAAAATAAAATCGATTTTTTTAACCCAATTGATAAACAAGTTACAGAAATAAAGTAACATACTGATTCTTTTGTTCTCGATTTCGAAACGAAAATGAATGTTGAATATAATTACAAGTTTAGTTGAAGTAGTCTATGCTTTGTTAAAATGATCCAAAAGAACTCGGGAAATATTTGTATGGAGGATGTTGTATTAAAACTAATGTGGAAAAGATTGTTTTGGTGACATGCAAACCATTTTTTTAGAATAATATATATAACCGACAGTAATTTGTGCAATTGTAATTAACAATAATCTACTTAGTCGCCACTTTTCACTTTTGGAGATTTGGTATATGGGCGTCCGTCAGTCTGTGCGTCCGTCTAGATTTGTCCTGTCTCTATCTTACTTATTCTCTGAAATATAACAAAAAAGTTTGATGTGTCACACGCAAAACCCAGGTCCGCTGCTTAAAGGTCAAGGTCACACTTGGGAGGTCGGTGCAAAACCCGTGTCCGGAGCCCAAATTCTACATGCGTGATATAAATATAACTTGGGACAAATATTCTCCATAGTGAAGCAGAGTTTCGCACAAAAAATAAATTAAAATATCAAAATGTGTATAAAGGAACGCGTCTTCCAATGCATAGTCTTTTCATTCTGTCATTTAATTTAGTCATATTTTTAGTAAGAATTTCATAGATTTCAATAAATTTTTGTGAAAAGAAATGCTCACGGATGAGCATGTGTGTTTTTTTTTGTTTTTTGTTGTTTTTTTTCTTGTCAGATCAAGTATTCACTGTTAATAAATCACATACTCAAGTCAATATGTATCAAGATTATCTAGACAAATATATTTGGAAACTTTCTGACATTAAAAGGAAGATGTTCTGATATGTTAAAGAAAGACTTTAAAACCGATCTTTTTCGTAAATGGTGCACGTGATATGTATAGATCTTTTTCTCAAAATTTAGAAGAAAAACTGACAAATATTGTAAACAAATAACTTTTACCTTATTTCAACAAAAAAGATATGATATTTTATAGTGTGCTTTTATTTTATCCATAACATTTGTAGATATATACAATACCATCTCAATATTTAGGTATTGTTACGGCCCTGCTCTTGGTATAGCCTTTGCATCGTTATCAGGTAGGATCCTTCTTACAAGACCAGTCGATGTGAGCTGTTGAGATGAATCTCACAAATAGGTTATAACAATTTTCTTCTGCTCCATGTGACTGTCAATGTCTGCCTGCCAGGTCCACAGTTGACTACCTCTATGCTTCGAGGCGGCTGCTCCTGTCAGCTCTTGTGTATACTGCAAATTTATGCTGTCTGTTTGTTTGTCAGCTATCTGCAAAGATCTGTGCCCAGTTATTCTGTAGTAGACTGTAGCTACCCTCTCTGGATGCCTGCCGAGATTGTGTGCTCTTCATTTGCAAAGAAAAAAAATGTTTCATGTATATCAAATATCGGTTATTCTGAAGAGATATAAATCATATTTGCTATATACATATAGTTTGTTTGTTTGGTTAATACGCCGATAATAAAAGTATTTTTGGTTATATCTCGACGGTCGATCCACCTTAATGGCTTTCTTGAATAACTAACCAGTATTAACCTATTTCTCCGCAAACTACCGACTAACGTTACTATATAATAATGATATAGCCACCAAACATTTTAATGGAATTGTAAGACTCAGTCAGACTAAGCCAGGCAAGACTCTCATCTCTATTTCCGCTCCCGCGACCCTTGCAAGTTTGGGTAGGGTATTTAGGTAGATAAGATCTTATTTCAATCATCATGAGCGCGTCCGCTCGGGACGAATATTTAAATCTGAACCGCAACATATAACAGATATTATTATACTCACACTCCAGTTACCACGTTGTTAGAGCATGCTGGTTGATAGACTACATTTTTCTGGGGTTTACTTACTGTCACGACAGGGAAACGGATAACGAAAGAAAAGTCATATTCAGGTGCTCGTACATTGGTTATTTTTATTGTATAACGCTAACATGTTGGGCGTTTTAACGCTATGTTTGTATAACGCAAATGACATGATTGTGTCATTTACCATATGAAACCTTTCGTTAACTTCGGTCCTGGATATCAACAAGATGGGATTATCTTAAAAGTTTCATCGTATTTTAGAGATATTTAAACAGTTTAATATTTCAAACAGGCTCAGTGCAGGTGCATTAGTTGCAAACAACGCTGGTTTATATATTGCAATGATAAATCTTGTCATTGAATTACTTGTGATAAAGCAAGATAACAAAACCGCACACACTGTCCGGTACCAGTTTAGAACAGTGTTATTTGAAACAGCTAGTTAGTAGAAACATAGAAAGGATTTAATTCGGACGTTTGGCTTGTTTTATGCCTCAAATTATCTATTACAATGTCAAATGCTGATGAATATAAGAATTTAAGGTTTAGGAATAAAGTTGCCATTGTCACAGGCGGGTGTTGCGGCGTAGGTCGCGGTTGCGTCGATGTCTTAGGTAAAATTATTCATTCATTCATTCATTCATACATTACATTTTGATGCACTTAGATTTTTAATCGAAAAGCTGCATTAACACGTCAATATACACATTGCCGTATTCTATATATTTACAACACATTTTGATTTTTGTTTTGATACAACATTTAAAACAGTCTATATAGAATTTTCCTGGTACGTAATAATTTTTTTTTTGATAGTTTTAAATTTTATTTTTAGTTGATGAAGGTGGAAAGGTTGCAGTACTGGATATAAACGGTATGCATAAAGCCAAAATTACCATACAGTTAAACCTGTTTAAAAAAAAAAGAAGAAGAAAAAAAGAAAAAGAAAAACACACACTCTGAATAAAGATGACCATGTGTATAAAGGTCATTATGAGAAACACTTCATCGATTATAAAGAACACAGCACTTAATCTCAAAAAGAAAACCACGGGACATTTTCAGGCCCGTCCTTTGTTAACAGGTTTGGCTGTATTTTGATGGCCTTTTAACCTATTATTACTCTTTAAAGATTGACATTTCTAAATAACTCTGTGTGTGAAATTCAAGTTTAATTGAACTGTCATTATTGACTGACTGACTGATTGATTGATTGATTGATTGGTTGACTGCTGTATTGATTGCTGTATTCAATTTGATTCCTTGCTTAATTGATTGATTTAGTGATTGATTGATTGATTGATTGATTTATTGATTGATTGATTGATTGATTGATGCAATTTTATGATACATTTCAATTTCATTAAAAGTGATTTTGTTTTATACTAGATGAGGTAGGAACGTCATTAACCTCAGATGGCCTGCCCGGTGAATTATTTTTCATACATTGTGATATGAACAAAGAGGAGGACATAAAGGTAAATCTAACATTAAGATATCATATTAGATTTTGAGCAGACATAGCACTATTTTCTAACCTTTAACTAACCTTTAATACGGTTTGTGACCTAATAACCTGCCCGACAAATTTAGATTAAAATAAGATAATGTGAACAATATCTCAACCTCTGTAAACTTTAACAAAATGATATCGTAATCACTTTACTTTTTGATGTGGATTGGTTTCTGTTATGGGACAGATTTCGACCAATATCCTTACGCACAGCTCAAAATTGAATATTATCGAAAATCGTTAAGATATTAAAGATTAAATTTTCTATATTTTTCACCCGCCCCCACCTCACTAAAATAAAAAACCAACAATTAATGGCATTTCCATGATAAAATATCTGTAAATACAGAGAGTCAACTTAATTTCATTTTTGACACTTATATTGGTTAGTTGGGTGGTATAGTATGGTAATATTTTAAATTGCCCATTATGCTTTTATTTTCATTTCTCAAAAGATTATATTATTGGTGTCCTGTTAAAGCGTCTTAGATTATACTCACTGTTAAATTCCTTAAACCATCTGTTGCCTCTATTTGTGTTTGAAACAAGTACAATTTGAATGATTTAATATTTTGTATGGAAGTAATCATACTACTTTGTATACAATTTGCTACCTTAATGATTCATAATTGCACGTCAGCGTTACATTCTCTTGTTAACAAGCGTCTAACATACTATAAATCATTATTTTAACGTTAAAATACTCATTTTTGCCATTTCTAAAGTAGATTTCTTTGCATTCATTTCTGAGGCATAAAGTGCCTTAAAAGGTTGTATTTACCAATAGTCACGCGAAAGCTATAGTACACGATTACATGACCATTACAAAACAAACTAAATAAGTAAAATAATTGAGAATAATTAAATCTTTATCTTCATAGAAATTTATTAAGCAATCGTTTGAACAAGTTGAAAATATTTTAGGGTCTGGATCTGTACTAACAAATACATAAAGAAAAAGAACAATGGAATGACAAAATGATACCGATCACAAAATATTTATTTAAAGCATGATTTCGGCTATGTTTAAGGATTTTTTTTTTTTCATTTATTTATTTATTTGAATGAATTATTTATTTAGAGCTGGCATTTAGTATTATACGTACTTTGAACAACCAACAACATCAACAATAAAAAGAAACAAGTAACATTTATCAACTTTTCGCAAGAAATACTTTAATTTTCATATTTTCTGCAGCAATCTTTAAAAATGCGCTTTATGTTATTTTTTTCAGAGTGCTATTGAAAAGGTGGTAGAGAAATATGGCCAAATAGACTGTTTGGTAAATAATGTTGGAACACGTAAGTTACATAATCATTTGTAGAAATGTTACTTTATAACACCAACACCATTCTTGCATACTTCTTTAGTTATAATTTAAATTAACAGGTATGGCCCGCAGTGTAATTGTATTATACTATTCTCAATAAGTCAACTGCTTCTGTTTAATATAATGCAATCATATGATTACATGTTTATAAGCTTAAAGCCAATCAAGTCTAAAACGGGTAATATATATTTATTTTTCAAAAGCTTTCCATTCTTGATGTCTTGTTGTTGTTGTTGTTTTTCTTTTCTTTTCTTTTTTTTTTAAATTTTAACCATTGTTTATATAGCTTAGACATCCTTTGCTTCCTTTACCTTTTGCATTAAGTTTACTTAAATTAAATCAGTGTTTTGTACGGAACACAAAATGCCACTTTGTTTACATTTCTTTTCTTCTACCAGAAATAATCTCACATCCGACGCTATTGTTTCAGGTAATTAGCATCTAGACCGCCTTACGTACAACAATTCGAAACTCATTTTTTCTTTGTCATTTTCTAAAGAAAGATAACAAGTATATTTATTTTAAATTGTGTTAAGTTGGAGATATTTATATCGGAAATTATTGTATATTGCAGATCCCGGGAGCAATCCAATTGACAATCTCACCGTGCAAGGTTTTAGAGATTTGCTCAACACTAATCTTGTCAGCTATTTTGCAGCAAGTAAGGTTAGGCGATGTTAAATTTGTAATCATTCCAATATATTAATAATATTTACCATTAGCAAAATACCTAAGTTAGTAGAGAAACATCTTTACTTCACATGGAACTTCTTTTTTTATTGCGCCAAACTAACAAAATTTAAATCACAAGTAAGTATGAATTATTTTCTTATAGCAGCCTAGTCGCCAATGAGACAGCCATGTTTTGTCATTTCCAATTGCTTACAGTTTCTTTTGATTTGATTTGAATCTTAACTCGGTCCTTTCGTTTGATCCTATTATACGTCGTGGAATTATGGTCCTTGTATACAGACATATCTACCTTGACCGTACATTGATGTATTTGATTTCCTTATCTTTTTTTTTATCTTCAACGTAGATGATTCAAAACATTAACGAATGGTACATATTAGGTGTGTACAGTTTATTGCTGTAAACGAAAAGTAGACTGACACAGGCGTGTTCCGGAGACGAATATCTCTTTCCATATTTATCTCTAATTGTATGCTTCTTGTGCGCTTTCTGAGTAAGTGATAGTTTTATTAAACAGTAAATATAGACAAACAATTGGGTAATTTCACGATGAAACCCGAAACCGATCGCTCATCTTTGTTTTAACAGTATTTGAGTACCTTCTTTTGGGAGAGTACTTTTCACAGTGTAATTTGACAAAAGATCAATTATTACTCTTTTCTTTAAGTACTTTTAACATGTTTTATTCTACTTTATATATCTTTTTGTTGTTTGGTTTATAGTTGTGTATTATTGTTCACGGGGCACGAGATTTTCATGAGTTAACGCGCGGTTACACATACAGTACGCACGGTTCACCAAATTTTATTCGAGCTTTAGTAAACCCAAATCTATGGAACCTTAACTGAGTTTTCTTATTTCTTAGTTTGGATTATATGCTTTAGGAAAGAAATTATTTATTAAGTTATTTACTGACAAACGAATAAGGCGGTTTATTATTTGCTAATCTCGACCTTAGTCATTCCTGTTGGCTTATAAATCAAACTTAGCACGAAAGTCATTTATGTTACTGGTTACTGCTTTCATTTGGTCATCTAATTTGCTTGAAATTCGGACAAAATACCGGTATTCCTAAATGTAAAAGGTCGCATGACACAACCACCCATTCTTCTCCTTTGATTTCTTTCATTTGTCAGTTCTTTCTTTATCCTGTCACAATTGATGTGCAGCTAAAATGATTATCTTCGTTTCAGTACGCTTTGCCCTATTTACGCAAGACAAAGGGTTGTATTGTTAATACAGGAAGTATTGGCTCATCGGCAGCTGCACTAGGGATGCCTTCTTATTGTGCCTCAAAGGTAGATATATTTTATTACACCCGTTTTAGCCATGTGCTCTTAATATAACCTTAACATGCGTTTCATTTCACAACGGATTTGTTATCCTGTTGTATAAAATTCATTTCAAAAATTATGCAGCAGCTTAGTTTAAATATTATTCTCCCGAAGAGACGGATAACAGCTAGTCATCCGTCCGTCTATCGGACAGAAAAAGACTATCCAGTCCTTATCGATGCTCAACAGGCATACTCTTTATATATTGTTTATTTGACTGTGACTACGTGTATAACATGGCTTTCGGACGCCGCAAAACTTCAGTTTCAATGTCCCAGCTCACAGAATAGGAATTAAACCGAGGCTCATTGTCTCTTTAAATGTATGAAGGGGAGAGGAGGGTAATCCTGATAGTATTTCCCTTTATTGAGACGATGAGCGGAACCAACATTCAAGTTGCCCACAAATGATAGAAGCAGCACTTTTTAGTCCCAACTAACACACCCATAACCGCATGTTGGACATTTTATTGAGACGAAATGCAGAAGCCATGTTCGTGTGCCAGCATTGATGTCAAAGTCATAGTTAAGTTAAAATGTTTATTGTTGCCATTCTGACCGTCGAAATATTTTTTGGACACACTCGCTACATAATTCAAAAGTTTATTCCTGTAAGTCAACGTGCAAAGAAAACTACTTACGTATGGTGGTTGTCAGTAAGTCGCCGCTCGTTGGCAATATTGTGTCCTTTCTCTAACTATTTAACTGCTCGTTGTGATATTTCTTTTTAAGCAAACAGCTTGCAAGACGTAGGCTACATTTAATTTACACAAAAATTTAATTAGTTCCAATTATATATGTTTCGTGCATTTTTTCATATAAGGGCAATTACTTTTGGAAGTCTACTGAACATGAAACATTATTTTGGAGTTTTGTTTCAAACAATTTTGCACGGGGTATATATTGTTATATCTATGCGGAGGAAGAAACTCTAATTGATAAATTAAACGTCTTTTATACATAAATTGTCTCTTGTGATGATTGATTTTAAGCGTCTATATGAAGCGTAGATTTTCATTTCTGGTTAATACATGTATATAGGGACATATCAAATAATTTTCATTTCTGTCAGTGTTATAAACAATGTTAAACTTTGCTTCTGAATTAACTTTGATTGATTTTACATCTGGTTAGCCCTTGTTCAAAAGTGAACCTTTTGATACTGTTTCATGTTAACACATTTAAATCAAACATTTCGGTACGGACAAAAGTATTACCTAGATATTCATTCTGCAAGACTGTTATCATTTTGTTATGCATTTGTCAATCTTTCAGGGTGGAACAATTGCATTAACTAAAGCTTTGGCAATTGATGAGGCGAAACATGGGGTTCGCATTAATGCGTAAGTTTTTTTTTAATTTATAATTATGATAATGACAGAAATATATTTAATGGTCCTTGTAGGCAATTTATAAAAAAGTATATACATATTGCTTTAAAATCGGGTTATTTCTGGTGATTTTTAAGCCTTACTACGTTGCATAACTTAAAACAACTGACTTGCCCATCCTTTAATTTGGGCAAAACCTTTCATCATTATTTGGCGAAATTGCAAAATATGTACTGTCAAAAAAGAGAACAGTGTCGACCATGGTCATACGGCACAAACTTGCCGCCTGATCTTGATCTGAACTTGTTGCAAAAGTTATAACCAAAGGTTATGGTACAGATAACTTCAAAACTCTGAACGATATTATTTGAAAATTAGTTTAAGAAGATCATTCATTATTATTATCCCCCGCCGATGGAATCGGGAGGGGGATATAGTTTTGGCGTTGTCCGTCCGTCCTTCCGTCCGTCCGTCCGTCCGTCCATCCGTCCGTCCGATTTTCGTTTCCGGAGTAGTTCTCTGCAACTAATGGCTGGAATTCAACAAAACTTTATGGGAATGTTGATCAGCATGTGAAGTTGTGCACCTGGGTATTTTCGTCTGGATATTTTTAGTATTTTTAGAGTTATTGCCCTTGACTTAGTAAAATTTTGTCCGAATTTCGTTTCCGGAGTAGTTCTCTGCAACTAATGGTTGGATTTCAACGAAGCTTTATGAGAATGTTGATCAGCATGTGAAGTTGGATATTTTTAGTATTTTTAGAGTTATTGCCCTTGACTTAGTAAAATTTTGTAATTTTCAACTTGTGTCTCATGTAACTCAAAAAGTATTTGACCTAGAGTCATGAAACTTTACAGGAATGTTGATCAGTATGTGTAGTTGTGCACCTGGGTATTTTTGTCCGGATATTTTAGTATTTTTAGAGTTATTGCCCTTGACTTAGTAAAATTTTGCAATTTTCAACTTGTGTCGCATGTAACTCAAAAAGTATTCGACCTAGAGTCATGATACTTTACAGGAATGTTGATCAGCATGTGTAGTTGTGCACCTGGGTATTTTCGTCTGGATTCATTTAGTATTTTTAGAGTTATTGCCCTTGACTTAGAAAATGTTTGCAATTTTCAAATTGTGTCGCATGTAACTCAAAAAGGATTTGACATAGAGTCATTAAACCTTATTGGAAAGTTGCTCAGCATATTTAGTTTGCTTGTAGATTTATCCAGTTTTTGTAAAGTTATTTCCCTTGACTTAGTAAAAACTGTTTCATTATGTTGTTATTTGATCCTTGAGTGCTTGAGTTAGAATCGACCAACTTTACAGGAATAATGATCAACATCACTAAATTACAGGAATAATGATTCACCTCACTGTGAAGCTATGAACCTGGGACTTTGCATGTGGATTTTTTTCAGTTTTGTTAGAGTTATTGCCCTTGAATTACAGTAGTATAATTTTTCAATTTTCAACTTGGGGTTTGCTTGGGGATTTATTCAGTATTTGTAAAGTTCTTGCCTTTTCAAAAAATATTTGACCTAGAGTCATAAGATTGAGAGAACAGTGGCGCGGTGGGGGCACCCGTGTCCTATGGACACATTTCTAGTTTTTATTAAAGAAGAATTAAAATGAGTTGTTACAATAACATTTAAAAATATTTGAAAATTGTGAGATCCCTTCTTGATGCCTTGAAAATGGCAATGAAGTCTGGAGATTAAGATGTTTTTACATCTAGGTGAGCTATTGTGATCCCCCACCGTCCGTCGTCGTGCGTCGTCAGCAATTTCTTTAAACAACATCTCCTCAGAAACAAATGACTGCACAGCAACCAAACTTTACAGGAATGATCCTAGGGTGGTCCCCTGCCAAAGTTGATCAAATGGTTCCGGTCTGTTGCATAAGTAGGTCACAGGGCCAGAAAAAGGAGTTTCAAAAATGCAAAATTAAAAAATCTTGTCTGAAAGTACAAGGCCTAGAGCTTTGATATTTGGTATATGATATAACCTATAGGTCCTCTACCAAAATTGTTCAAATTTTAGCCCTTGGGTCATAATTTGCCCCACTGGAGGGGGTCATAGATTTTCCTCATATGTATATAGTGAAAACTTAAAAATTCTTCTTGTTTGAAGGTACAAGGCTTCAAGTTCAAAGAATATTACAGTTTATGCCATGATTAATATATAAATAAAGCCTTATGTCTTCAGTTGTTGTGTTAATAATAACCAGTACTCGGCGGGGGATATAAATTCAACGAATTTGCTTGTTTATACTTAAACATAAGGGTCGTTGAATTTTAAAACAATGGGCTTAAATTATCAGAAATGTTTTATGGGAATTCTAAGGAGCCATTCCTTTTCATTAATATTCCAATAGATGTTGCGATGGCCAACACTCCAAGGGTTACAGCATAGGCTTAATCTTAACCTGCAAGAACCGATATTGTTTAGCCTTTGTCATCAGTATAGACAGACTGGTGAAATCTGGTCAAGCCTCTATATTGTTAGTTAATCATTCATTTTGTATTCTGATATGAAACTTTTTTAAACATCAAATTCAAAGCTGGAAAGAAATCCTTCACACAAATTCAACAGGTAAAGATGGCCAGTTTTAAGACAGTGTTCCTCCTTGGTTATAAAGCTTAGAGAAACTGGACTGTGCTTGTGATACTAAATAGACATGTGTTAAGGGCGCACATGTAATTATATTACCTTTCTTCTTCCTAACACTTTGTCACATTTAGTACATTAACATACAAGCCTCATAAAGAACGAAAAAGACGGAACACCATCAACGCATTGCGGTGGTAGAAACGCTGCCTATGAAATTCAGTACTGCAGTGGTATCAAATACTATATATAAGTTTTATTTTTATATTCTTCTTCTGATATTATTTTAAGGGTATCGCCTAGCATAGTAGACACACCTTTATTGAGAAAGGTGATAAAAGAATGGGGCGAGGAACAGGCACAGATCGATATGTTAGCCTCGTTTACGGTACGGTCTTTCAATTTACTTTGATATATTTCATTCTGGTTATGTCGTGCATTGCAGCCAAATAAAAGATCTTTCAGATTACAGACCTTAGACCACATAAGGTAAATCAGCCTAATTAGCACAGTACGAAGAGCATCGGAGCTGTACTTAAGGGCTCGCTGGTGTGATCATCAGACAGTACAAAATTTATCCGTGACAATTGATTTCGGACAATAATCTTTTGTGTCTCATCGCTTATTCCGAAATTATGTGAGATTATCAGTCTTTCACTAGCAGATAACTACTGGTAATTTATCTAGCAAAAGCCGGTTAGGTGGACCGAGCGCCGAGGTATGAATAACACATTTAAATCGGCGTTAACCAACCAGCCAATCAAACCATAACAAACCGTACTAAGAAAATCAGTCTTTGAACACAACAAAATTCTGGAAACAAAGTGATCCCTCGGAAGCATTAATCACAACAAAATTACATAAGAATTGCAGACTCGGTTTGATTGAGTCTGTACATGAGAGATAATGAATAAGTGCAACATCCCCCACGCCCCCTAGCACCGGCTTGAGCGGTACTCAATTCTCAACACTTAATAGTGCTGGCATCAATGATCCCGAAGGACCAGAAAATATAACAACACTGAAGTGAAGTACGGGGCAACTTTTTACAGCTGCCACACAGCACTTGACACCTGCTGTTGTGAAGTACAAAATTCTGGAAACAAAGTGATCCCTCGGAAGCATTAATCACAACAAAATTACATAAGAATTGCAGACTCGGTTTGATTGAGTCTGTACATGAGAGATAATGAATAAGTGCAACATCCCCCACGCCCCCTAGCACCGGCTTGAGCGGTACTCAATTCTCAACACTTAATAGTGCTGGCATCAATGATCCCGAAGGACCAGAAAATATAACAACACTGAAGTGAAGTACGGGGCAACTTTTTACAGCTGCCACACAGCACTTGACACCTGCTGTTGTGAAGTACAAAATTCTGGAAACAAAGTGATCCCTCGGAAGCATTAATCACAACAAAATTACATAAGAATTGCAGACTCGGTTTGATTGAGTCTGTACATGAGAGATAATGAATAAGTGCAACAGTCTTGCATATTGTTGTAATAAAGGACCTTAAGCTTACTACAGCTACTTATTAACTGTTTTAGACGATAATAATATTATTTTTCGGTTAACAAATACACAGTTTTCACAGAGAATGTACGATATATTTATTATAATGTACACAAACATTCATTGTATAAACAGTATTATAATTTCAGCAATTAGGTCGTTTGTCGTTACCCAGGGAGATAGGTAAAGCATGCCTTTTTCTTGCCGTGGATGCAACTTTCACGACGGGAGAAGAACTTATGTGCACCGGTGGAACAGAAATTGGATATGGCGTTAAACAATAACTGCGTTAAGATGTGTGTGGTAAAAGAAAGAGTTTGAACCGTAAAACACGAAAATGTCAGTTCATTAGTTAAAAGGCCAGTTATGTGGAAGACGTCTGGTCATCCGGCTTAATATATTGATTAATAATGGACATACTTTGATATTATTAAGATAACTTGTTAAGCTAGCATGAAATATACCAACGGTTTAAGTTTAATGTACAACACATGCCTAGCCAATTGCATTTCCTCCGCCCTTTCCGTCAAACTTTGGATAAGAACTTCGGACACAGTAGTAATAATACACAGAACTGATAAGGTATTTCGGTCTAATCTACGCTAAGTATCAACATTTCGAGTAACAGACCACCTAAATCAAGTATATTTATAGATATAAAATAATAAAAGTAAACAATACATTATTTGAATATTTTTATATTATGGTTGTAGAAACCGAAAGTACAAAATGTCTACATGTTGGATTTGGTTATATTTTGTTCATCATAGGGCATTTTTTAATTGATTATGATTGTCAGACATATTCTAAATCATAATTTTACCGAAACATACTTTATTTTCCTTTGGATATGAAATATATTCATTCATTATGTAACGTAGTTGCAGAATGGTGTTTTATTTTTTATTCTAGCGCAACTATTTGTATGTTGTGTGTGGGAGCCTCTTTATATTGGTAGTCTATGATTTTTAAATGTGTCTGCATTCCAGGGCTGACTGGCGTAACTCATTTGCATTGTAACGCTTTTCTGAACATGGCGATAGGCTCATGGTCCCAGGCAATTCGATCATAAATATTTAGAGATTAAAATATATGTCAGTATGACGTATGCAGGAATTACGAAATCTATCTACAAATATGGAGTGTGGATATGCGTCCATGCCTATCACGTGGTTATATTAGTCATGTTTACATCATGATAGATTCATCAACTATTGACAATTGGTTACCAAATAAGTCGATTTCGTATGGTGGCTGATTTGTGCCATTCGCATTTGCGCCCCGCAACCCCGCCAAGCGAAAAGTCAAGAAATATCAAGTCTAAATGGAAGGGGCGAAAAGTCGCTACTTAGCAGAGGCGCGGGGCAAAGTTTGATAAATAAAACTTGGTCCCGCGGGGGCACAGAGCGCGATTTAAGGCATAAAATGGCGGGGTGCGGAGCGGAAACTCCTCGCTAATTAGCGTTTTTTTTTTTCGCTCCGCGCTTTGAACACCATTTCAACTTGTTAATTCTCGCCTTTTCGCTTGGCAGGGTCGCAGGGTGAAAACATGCCCATTAGCGGAAGCGAAGATTTATATTTAGATTTCGTCCCGCGCCCCCGCTAATAAACGTTTATTTTTTCGCATCGCATCCCGCCGTTTTGCTTTTTAAATCTTGCTCCGCGCCCTGTTGGGCAAAGTTTTATTTATTAAACTTCGCCCCGCGCCCTTGCTAATTAGCGTGTTTTCGTTCCGCACCCCGTCACTGAACATGTTTATTCTCGACTTTCGCTTAGCGGATCGCTGGACAAAAAAACGCTAAAGCCCATCTCACACAGGACACACGGCGTACACGGTTGGCCACCCGTGTAAACCGTACATTCAACCGAACTAACCGTAGCGTTATTCGAGTTACACTCGGGCAATTCGAGTGTATCCGTGTAAGCCGTGTATGATTTTTAAAACTTTTAAAAAACTGGTACGGATGCCATGTCCGTGTATGACCGTATAAGCGACCGTACAAGACCGTAAGAGACCGTGTGAGACCGTATGAGACCGTATATACAGCCGTATGTGAAGTCCACTCCACGAGTGAGCCCAACCGTATCAAGGTCGTATATAAATCGTATGGAATCGTTCGAGACCGTCCCCAAGTCCTACATCCAACACCCGATTAACACCCGAATGTCACAAGATCACGGTACGATTCAAACGAGTGCACACACGGTTTCATACGATCGCCATATGACCAATACGGTTCATATACGAAACATACATGGCCGACACGGTAAAGTACGGGTATACACGGTCTCACACTGCCTCGTACGGTCTAACACGGCTCAGCAAGAACGGTACAAAAAACACAACTAACTGCTGCCACCCTACTTATAGTGCTTGCTGCATCACACTAGAATGTATCCAAAGAAGAAGTCTTGGACGCATAGAAGGAATACAAGAAGAGCCATCCAGGCCCACCGACCACTCAAACTTATTGACCCTGATAAGGTGGAGGACCAACCGGCAATAACCGTGTCTCCCAGGGATTCAGACTCCAATGCCAGCTCGGTGGACCCTCCAGCAACCGCTGCACAACAGAAAAAAGACACATTCATTTTACATTGCTTCACCTTTTTATTCATTTATTGATGTTAATATTATTTAAAAAGATTGTTGACAGGTTATATGGCCTTATATAAACGGCTGTTTGTAAATATAACCCAGCAAGCATCATTTTTAGAGGAATAAAGCGAGATTTCTTTATAAATCGACAACAGCCGTGTATATAAAACTATTTAAACGTCACGATTATCCAATGAAAAGCGACGTTACGAACGTGCAGTTTTATAATGATCTATATACAGGTGTTCTTTGTTGAAATTTCGAAAGCCAAGACATCAAAACGGGTTAATTTATATCAAAACATACACAAATGTGTGATATTTCGAGTTTTACTCGAACAAAAGTCGGCGGGACCCTATGTAAACCCTGTGAAAGTCGGGTAAATCGAGTAAAAGTCGTGTTTAATCGTACCAGACCGTACTAGACCGTACTTGGAACCGTACAGCAGTCGTATATATTCGTATGCAAATCGTGTTCAAACCTTGCTTGACCGAGTATATCCGTGCTCAATTCGTACATACTCGTGCTATATTCGAGTCTTATTCGTGCCAACTAATCCACAAGCACGGTTGAAGCTCAAAACTCGTACCAGTCAACCCGTGTATAACCGATTATACCGTATGGGAATCGTGTGTCCAACCGTGTTTTGTGTAAGACGGGCTTAACAGGGCGAAGTTTGAGGTTTTAAACTTCGTCCCGCGCTCCCGCTAATTAGCGTGTTTTTGCTCCGCGCCCCGCCATTTTATTTTAAATCTCGCTCTTGGCCCCCGTGGGGCGAAGTTTTATTTATTAAACTTCGCCCCGAGCCCTCGCTAATCAGCGTGTTTTCGCTCCGCGACCCGCCATTTTTACTTGTTAATTCTCGATTTTTCGCTGGGTGAAAACACAAATGGCACAAATCAGCCACCATAATTTCCTTTGATATATATGGAAATCGCCACGTCAGAATAACGCAGAAAGTTTAACTTTCCAACTTTCAGCCACCGTTTACTTGAGAAACAATGTGATATTTTACGAAAATACTTTGACAATTAAACATAAGGAAATATTTGTGTTAAAAAGAACTTTATAAACAAGACATTACATGTATCACTATGTTATGGAAACAGATTTATGTAATGAAACGATATACGTAATAGTTCAGATAGTAATAGGTCACTACGTAACACAGTTCTACATTATTATTGATTACATCCTCCCTTTTTGATCAGTATAAGGTCCGAGGCTGTTATTGGTAATAGCCGAGATAAGCACACTTATAGTTTTGTCATGACAATGGTGGATAGATTATGAAAAGATTGTGATTGCATACACATTAAAGTTTTAGTCTGCAAATCATCGAGATGCAGGCAAATTAATGATGGGACAAATTAAAGTTGTTTTTTATTGTAGTTGTTATCTTTCATTTATCTGTAGTGACCAAAACCTGCCCGTACTTAAATAGTGACCAATATCTGCCCGTACTTAAATAGTGACCAATATCTGCCCGTACTTAAATAGTGACCAATATCTGCCCGTACTTAAATGGTGACCAATATCTGCCCGTACTTAAATGGTGACCAATATCTGCCCGTACTTAAATGGTGACCAATATCTGCCCGTACTTAAATAGTGACCAGCTATTTTTCATCCCTTGTTTCTACGGTGTTAAATATATTCTCCCCTCCCATATCTCGGCAGATACAAATATATTGCAATAGTCACCAATATTTTCTAGTAATTAAATGATGACTAATATCCTTTGTATTTCATGGTAATATATCCTTCCGTGTTTCAATTTTTACTCATAAGTTATATTTATTTTATATTTATTTCAATACTGAGAAAAGAAATGTAACCACAATCTCTATGTTTTAATTAAAGTAATATTTTCCGTATTTTAATCGTGACAAATATATTTCTGTATTTCAGTTGTGATCAATATATACCGTGTTTCAAAATAACAGTGACCAATAACCTCCGTTCTTCCATGATGACAAATACCCCTCAACTTCAATCTTAGACCAATATCTTCAAAAGTGACCAGTCCCCTTATTATCATTGTGCCCTATATAATAACGTATTTCAATAGTTACAAATACCCCCGTGTTTTCATTTGTATATGTAGCTTTTACGGCAATCTTCATGCATTTTCGGTCATACCCTAGTATTCGGTTAACAGGTTGACATAAACGGATATCAGTTAATAGCAATTTTCACCCACTACTTATCAAACATGATTTCTGAATCACTGATAAGAGGCAATGGCCATTAGATTAGTATTGTTGTCAAAAAGTAATGCAGTTTTCATCAGCAGGTTTCATATAAATTTCATCAAATACATTTGTACCTTGAAAATAAATGTAAATGATTGTTGATATTATACAATATGTCATGTATTGATATTAACATTAAACCGCTGTATTTTAACCAGTATTTTGCAGATATTAGGATATCTAAGTGTTCTCATTGCGCTATCCCATAGGTAAAAGTTCAATTTCGCGGTTAAACAGAAGTATCGAGAGCATTACAAATTTGTTTATGGTTTCTTTGAAAACTATTTTCAGTCAACATTTGACTTTGTTTCTAATTGTGTGTTCTTTATAGTAAGGTTTGTTTTTTTCTTGTTAGTTTTGAATGAATAAATTTTCTAAATAAATTCGTAAGTGGCTATATTCATTAATAGATAGATGTAGATACTCTAACATTGCACTTTTTTCCCCGATACTATTCCGGCGAAGTCCTTGCTGTTTTTTGAAAATATGTTCCCCAAAGCTCAGGTGCCAGTTCATGCCTGAAATAATGCATTTAGGGGCTCCCCCATCTGTAAAGCCCGAAATTCGCCATATGACCTATACCGTGTTGGTGCGATGAAAAACCCAAACAAAATAAAACAAATTGTTATCAAAAGGTGGCAGTTGACATCGACTTTACATCGAAATAAAACAAGGAAATATTTATTTAATTGTTTGAGGAAAAGTGAATGAAAAAGCAATTATAATTATTATACTGTTTAACCTATAAAATATAAAAACACATACGATCTGAAACAAATTTTAATTTGATGTTGTGTTTTATTTCTAACCAGTGAAAAATAAATCATTACAACATAGATATGTAAACAATTTTGCATAGTTGATGTCCGCGCGTTTTTACATATAGATCTTAAAAATAACTAAATAATAACATTTTTTGCATCATATCCCTTTGGTAGGACTAGAGATATTATCGATTTCTACAGCTAACGTATAAGGCCATGAATTGTGCTTATAACATTATAGTTGGTAGCCTTGCTATTTTAAAAGCTACAAGGACACATTAACCATTGCACGCAATTGTTGACTTATTGAAATGAGAAGGTACTCTGACTTTAAAGTGAAAACAAAGATGAATAGAAACTTTCAAAAAAAAAACACCATAAGTTCATTTGATCTTCCCTTTTGATTACATTCACACAATTCAAGAGCGAGATTTTGAAATTTGTCATTCAATCCCTGAAAAATATTTATTATTATTTAATTTATAACGAAAATGAAAAGATTACAAATAAAATATTGTTAAAACTAAAATTCACGTTTTCGTTAACTTTTAAAACTTAACGCTACATTTTATGATATTTGTTTTATACTATAAATACAAGAATTATTTTCATCGAATGGTATTCAAATAAATATTTCATAAGTGCCAGTAGACTCGAGTGGAATATGAAAATGTTTATACCACAAGATAAAAAAGTCATGTATTATTAGAAAAATCTTGAATTTTCTGTTTATTATATACTTTTCTCTTTATGATTATGATTTAAAAGAATTCCATTTTAATTTTGTGTTTTGACTGAATTTAGAAAAAACACCAGTGAAAATACGGAAAATATTTTTCACTGTAGTGAAAAATAAATGTTTACTTTATTTTATTTTGAAGAAAACGAAAACGGAAAATGAAAATTACGCATTTTATTTCATCAATATTTCTCAATGTGTCATTGATACGTTTATAATAAAATGCTATATCTTTATATGCTACCTTCTTTGAATAAAGATATTATTATAATAACTGAAAATGAAAACCATCATTAACGTTTGAACCTTCTTTACAATGTCCACTCCATGTTTTTTTTTCTTTTTGGTCCCAGTTACATGAACAATAAGTCAAAGGCATCTGTTATTTGTCATTGCAACGTAGCCAATATCATGATACTCTCGAAGCACTGCTATTTTCTAGGACTAAGTAGGTACTTAAGTCCATCACTTAGTTTTTCTCGTATAGATCCCTTGCACCCTGTTGCTTTCAAGCTGCCAAATGACGTCGTACCTTTTAATATACTTTTGATTTTCTCGATATTTTCTGACGGCTGAAATGTGTAACGAAAAGCACTATGATTTCTTTCTAACGCCAATACTGCATTTTCTACATTGTCCATATCCTGCTCTTTCAATATCTTGAAGAGTAAACAGTTTTCCCGTGACGATATTTTCCTCACCAAATCTTTCTTTGTTGCTTTCACATCTTCCTTTAGTTTACTTTGTTCCATTTCTACAGTAAGAGCCTTGGCACGGTAAGTGCTTGCCTCGAATTCAATCGACTCACAAAGTTCATTGGAGAGTGATTGCACCTTCAATATGATTGCATCCCGCCACTGTTCTATTTCATTCCTAGCTTTGTCCTTGTAAATATCTATTTCTGACCAGATGTTTGTATTTGTGTCCTCAATCTCTTCGAGTTTTACATCTGCATCATTTATCCTTTTTAAGAATTCCTTAAACTCTCGACTGTCATGTAATCCTCTTGATAGGCTGTATACAGATTTTACCATACCTGAGCACAAAGAATGCTCGCATTGTACGCATGTGGCGCATGCAAATTTATCACACCTCAAACAGTAAAATTTAGTAACTGATGGCACATGTTTAGAACATTTCATGCGGTAAAGATCGCTCGGTATATTGTTCTTCTGTTCAAACACATGATCTTTGAAATAGAAATCATGATGTACCTTACAAGATCTACACAGTAAACAAACACAGTCCACGCAAAAATACGGAGGTTTTACGCCACCGGGACATTTTTCACAAAATATTTCTACGATCTCGTCTGAATCTAAACAAGCGTTCATGGCTGTGGCTAATGTTGAAGTAAATGTGAATATATTAAGATACAAGCATATATACTTTCAATGTCAAGTGTCGTTTCCTTTAAACGAGGATAACCTCAAAAGTTGTGTTGAAACGACACTAAAAAGTGTTTTGAAATAATTTTTGTTCGTGTTTATTTTTAATTAATTTTCAATGTCCTTAAAATTTGTTGATTAAATTTTAAGAATCCTGTTATTTATATGCTAGCAATTGCGTGAATGTATTAGTGAATCTTAATTATGTAATGTATTAGTTGCAGCTAATATCATTAAAGCTCGGTTTGACAAATCCCATCCTAGTTTTTCAATGTCCTTGATTTGTTTCCTGTTTAACATATATTATAAGGACATATTAACAAGTCATATTTAAGTACTTAAATTTTCAAATCGTGTCCAAAGATCTTCATTTTCTGTTTAGAACAATACGAAAGGAACATTATTATTTATATCATATTTTTCCTTGTTTTACGTATAGGGATTGTCAATGAGTTTTGATCAATCTGTAAGATTTGTTTTATCCTCTCATCGTTTAATTTTGTTAATGAACTTCGACTTCTTAAAATCTGGAAAACATATTTATCTTTTTGGAGAAAATAAAAAATGTGTAATGATTGAATAGTGAATAGTTTAAACCATGTTCAGATGGAGAGGGTGTTCAGATTATACATATTCGTGATCAGAGGTCACGGCACAATTATGTGAAAATTGTGGTAATACTTTGAAACGGAACTAGCACAAGATTCCATATAGTATAAACACTCAATCCCAAATACATAAGCAAAATTTTCAACAATTATTTTCAAACATATTTAGCACCATAAAAAGAGATTGGGTAAACAAAACCTCTCAAAACATTTAAGTCACATAATTCATTCATCTAAAGATTACGCCTGTGTGCTCAATATCGGGTCCACGATAAATCATCACCATTTCTTTTGGTATACAGAGACCCCGATATGCGCGATAAAATTTTCACTATCGTACTTTCGCCCATTCACCTTCTTGGTTTCGTTATTCGATTTTAACTTTCGTACTTTTTGACTCTTGACATTTAATCAAATTTTTCCCCAAACAACTTTGATCTGGATTTATCAATGGGCAGTCAATAAGAATGAAATATGCAATGCTACAAAAATATATAATTTGATATAATGTTGTATATCCTAGGATCATAGACTAAACACGTTCCTGACTAACCTAATCTGTCAACCATGCAAAAACCGGAATAGAACATTACTGTTGTTTGCTGGTAACATTCGCATACCTATATGTGTGTACCGGAGATGACCGAATTTTAAGTCGTTCATTGAGCCTTGAGATCATCGAACATAATAAAATTATAAATTTCACGGAAATTTAATCTTTAAGTATATAATGTGTATACATTTTAGTTAAAATCACCATTTCTTGGGGACAAGTGTTAAAACACCATTTTGATATTTCGTTGCGGATGAAAAATTCCATTAGTTTGCAGCAATATAATACAAAAATGTATAACCAAAGGCAAATGGCCTCGTGAGACCCGCTTGTAATAGTCGTTTTTCTGGTCGGCTATTTGCTCTATCTGTATATAAAGTGTATAAATGTTCGTAAAAAGCAGCATTTTGTGGTGCCATCCGTATACACTTCATATGTCTGATTCTGTTCTTGCATTAGTTTAGAGGTTCTTCTTTACAGCAATGTAAGGCACAAAGCTCTAGCCTAAGGAATATGGCCTCTAGAGTTCTGCGTGACATAGTAGTGTTTTTTTACAACTGATCAGTTCCTTCTCTATTTAAAGTGTAACAATTTTTGTAAAAAAAACACTTCTTTCGGTTTCCAACTGTTCAAAAACTATTTGTCTGATTCGTTGCGGATTACAAATTCCATTAGTTTTGAGGTTCTTCTTTAAATAAATATTAAATACAAAGCTCAAGTACAAGGAACATGGACCCGAGATTCCCACGTGGCATGGTCGATTTTTTTTAACTGGAAATTTGTACTTCTATAAATAGTTTAAAATTGTATGCAAAAAAAACAACACCATTTTCTTTTGCAAACCGTTCTAACGCCATTTTTGTCATGATTACATATTACAAATGTATAAGACACACAGGTCAAGAACTATCGAGAATTCGGCGTGGCACGGTCGTTTTTGGATCGACGATTTGTTCTTTTGTAAAATCACGTTTAGAGGTTTTTGTAAAAAAAGTCACCATTTTTCTTATGAACCGTTAAAACATAATTTGACCGATTCCGTTGCGGATTTTACAAGTTCTGCTATACAGTAATATAAGGTCCAAGAAATATGGCCACAAAAATTCCGCTTGGCATATTCGTTTTAATTTACTGACATTTTTTCTTCTCTTTATCAAGTATTATTGTTTTTGGTAAAAGCATCATTTTCTGTGGTCAACCTTTAAACCTTAAATGTATTTGTTTAATTACGATGCGGAGTAGAAATTCCATTAGTTTGGAGTTTTTTCACAGCAATATTAGGCAGAAAAGGCACAAATGTTTTGTTGTTGTTTTTTTTTTTTTTTGGGGGGGGGGGGGTCGGTAAAAAAGGACCTTTTGCTGTTGCCAACCGTTTAGAACCCATTTGCGTGATTCCGTTACGGACAAGGTTTTTCTTTACGGCACAATAAGACATAAATCTCTGTTTGTAGGAATATGGTCTCCAGAGTTTCCGCGTAGCAGTTTGTTCTTTCTATTGGAATCTCGACTAAAAATTTCGCAAGCATTTTTGCAGAATCTCCAACCATTTAATTATGACATACATATTTCAAATGGACATGTAACAGTAGTCACTAAGTAGGTTGATCTTCTTAACAGACTCAAAGGCTCAACTGTCTAACGCAAGGAAAAATGACGGCGTGTGTAGGCGCTTTTGGCAATTTGCCTTTTAAGTATATAAAGAGTATGACTTTTCCTAACAGGTACACATCATTTATTGGAGCCAACTCTTCAACATTATTTGTGATTTTGTTGCAGATTAGAAATTACATTGTTTTGGGGTTCTTCTTTACAGCAATATAGAACACAAAAGTTATAACCCAGGGAAATGGTCGTTATTTCGATAGGTGACTTGTCCTTTCTATATATAGTGTATAAATATTTGTAAAAACACCAGCGCTAAAACACCATTTGTTTGATTCCGTTACAGATAAGAAATTGCAAAAAGTATGGAGGTTCCTTTTTACAGCAATATAAGAGTCTCAAAGCTCCGGCCAAGGAATATTGCCTCATTTCGTCCGCGTGGCATAGTTTGTTGTTGTTTTTTTTGACCGGCGATTTGTTCTTTCTAAAACATTTCGTAAAAGCACAAAAAAGATGATTTTAATGCATTGGGTCATGACGTAGGATGAAGTCGAAATGGTAAAATGTCAAAAATAAGATGATGAAAAATCAAAAGTACGATGGTGAAAAATCGAAATAACGAGACAAGGATTGTGATACGCCGAAGGTATGATGGTGAAAACACGGAATTTTATCGAGTTTTCATCATTTTTGCGAGTTGTGTTTGTGTTGCGGTGGGCCTATCGGAACACCGTAGATGAAACAACTCTTACCCCGAATTTTAGAAAAAATAATAAAGGTATTTTTTTAATTGTTCTTAATGTTTGAGATTATGTTCTGTTCATATTTCATTCTCAATATTGATTAATCACATACAGCAAAACGTTTAGTGTATTACATGCAAATGTGTCCTTTCGACACGTCTTTATCGCAGTTATTTATAAAACCCGACCACATTGTTTAACGCCATATCCAATTTCCGTTCCACCGGTGCACATAAGTTCTTCCCCTGTCGTGAAAGTTGCATCCACGGCAAGAAAAAGGCATGCTTTACCTATCTCCCTGGGTAACGACAAACGGCCTAATTGCTGAAAATAAAATATACTTGGTTGAGGTCGTTGCTTGAAAACCACTTCCCCTAGCCGCTGTCGGTTTATATCCAGACAGGAACTATGAATTCGGATTCTATCATGTGAGGAAGCTATCCAGCAAGCCTATAGATTCTATTCAGGTGCCCGTTTGTGCATGAAATAATGTACAGAAGGGCACCTAAGATCTTTCCCCACTAGGAAAGCTTACTGTAATGGTGCGACGTAAAGCATTGGAAGATCGTCTGTCCAACTTCTTCATATGAAACGATTCTTAGTCCGTGGCGGAATTTGAAACTACAGCGCTTATGGGCCTAATGCTTAATATTCACTTACTTCATTGAATTGATTTATTTTTAAACAAACATATTAGTCTTCATTCTATCGTTCCGGGCTTTAATAAAAAATATTTACATACAAGAAAGAAAGACAAACCAGGGGCTGCCGTAACAGACGGACATTTTCAGCTCTCTGTAACTGCTTATTAGGGGACATTCAGCAGACGGTGTAAAAGAACGTTGCCTTTAGCAACAAATCTTCTTTATATGGTCTGTATTCAGAAGGAGACTGTAGCTCGGGTTTTGCGGTAATGCACAAGAAAGAAAACGGTCTTTCAGAAGTAAAGGTATTGACAATTTTAAATAGATAAAAGTCATACCGTAAATGAGGCCAGCAAGTCAATCTGCTCTTGCTCGTCTCCCCGTTGATTTGCCATCCTTCTCAACAAAGGCGTGTCCACCATGCTTGGTGATATCCTTAAAATTAAGTCGTATGATCACATAGAAATTTTCTATAATTCCTCTATTAATTTCACGTCAATATGTTAAATCCGTAGTGTTCCGTCATCGTCCCGGCGTTAAGTATTCACACTGCAGCCACTTTTCGTATACTGTCCACTATAGTCTTCAAGTTCACTGTATTTATTTTTATACGTGTATTAATTTTATCCTGCATATGAGAACATTTGTATAAGATCTAAATGTTAAATTCGGAATACATGTTATGGCAGCGTAATTATTATAACAATTTAAAAATAAGATAATATTATTTTAGTGCACGTCATTGTTTTGTTTACTCTTAAATCATTCAAAAATCTGGAAACAAAGTGATCCCTCGGGAGCATTAATCACAACAACATTACAAGAGAATTGCAGACTCGGTTTGATTGAGTCTGCACATGAGGGATAATGAATATGTGCAACATCCCTCACGCCCCCTCCCTAGCACCGGCTTGAGCGGTACTCAATTCTCAACACTTAATAATGCTGGCGCCAATGATCCCGAAGGACCAGAAAAATATAACAACACTGGAGTGAAACCTGTTGTAAATTATTGTCTAAAATATCGACGACAAGGCTCAATATTACGATTTCCGCCGTAACTAAAATGTGCAATTGAGAAAACTTACGCATTAACACGAACTCCATGTTTGGCCTCATCAATTGCCAAAGCTTTAGTTAGTGCAATAGTCCCACCCTTGGAAAATGGAAAAAAGATTAAATCAAGTGAATAAAAATGCAAAATTAATGCTTTTCTTTCCTGAAATCAGTTAAATAACAATGCAAAAACTGTAATCAATTCAATAACAATGCACAAATAACGCTTTCCTTTCCTGAAATGAATACAATAACAATGCAAAATTAAAGCGACTCCACTGAGGTTCAAAAGCATAAGATCATAAAATTTGATTTTTCGTACATAAATGAGCTGGGGCACTTTAAATTGAAATATATGCAAAGATAGTCAAGAAAAATACTTCGAAATAAATTGAAAATCGTATTTTTATGCTTTTCTTAGCTCGATTTGTGTGTGAAAAGCGTTTAAACGCTTTTTATTTTGGTCATATTTTTACAAATTGAATAACTATTCTGGAATAACGAAGTGCGCGGGTGATCTGAAATTTTGCACAAAGATTAGTGGTCTAAACCTACATCAAATGGTACATTTATCTGGAAAAATATTTTCAGTTCCATCATTTAAAAAAAACTCAGTCCTTTTAATGTTTTTTTTTATTGTAATCATTTCAATGACACTGCAAAAATAACGCTTTCCTTTCCCGAAATCAATTCAATAACAATGCAAAAACTGAAATCAATTCAATATCAAAGCAAAGATTATGCTTTTCTTTCCTTAAATCAATTCAATAACAAAGCAAAGGTTATGCTTTTCTTTCCTGAAATCGATTCAATAACAAGGCAAAGGTTATGCTTTTCTTTCCTGAAATCAATTCAATAACAAAGCAAAGGTTATGCTTTTCTTTCCTGAAATCAATTCAATAACAAAGCAAAGGTTATGCTTTTCTTTCCTGAAATCAATTCAATAACAAAGCAAAGGTTATGTTTTTCTTTCCTGAAATCAATTCAATAACAAAGCAAAGGTTATGTTTTTCTTTCCTGAAATCAATTCAATAACAAAACAAAGGTTATGTTTTTCTTTCCTGAAATCAATTCAATAACAAAGCAAAGATAATCCTTTCCTTACCTGACAGCGTACATTGTAACAAAGCTAAATTTCTGAATATGAGAATAATAAGAAACAATTTAATTATGGCATTTTTTTATTCAAATAAAAAATAGCGATGTTTAGGTTGTCCAGTGTATACCTGAATGCAAAATTATTTGAGAAAACCGAATCAAAGGTAACTTTTAATTTAAAAAAATCTAAAAGTTAATGAATTATGTCAGAAACATCAGCTTTCGAAATATTGCAACTTTAGCGTGTATGCGCTTCCTGTTTCTAATTGATGTATCAACAGAAGTACGACTGTATAACTGAAATCAAGCAAGAAACAAGTAGAGATTTTGATGCTAAAGCATCAAGTCGCCGGATAGAAATATGATTGTATTATCATAAATAAAAGAAAATATCAGTTTAATGGTTCGAGCATGAAGAAAAGAGGACAATAAGTTGAGTAATGTTTATTCATAAACACGTTTTCATTTACTTGCCACAATTATATCTTTCTTGCTGAGAGTTTTAAGCAAAAATTTATCTTATGTTATAATAAAACATCATATTTGAATCAAACTTGCTTAGCAATTTTGTCAAGAAACTCGTATCATTAATAAATAAGCAAGTATTGTTTGGCAATATTTACCTCACAGTGACTCAATAATTTTCGGGAGCTGTTTCGTTTGCTTACATAACTTATTATGATTAATGTTAACGATTTTATTGTAAGTATAATAACATGTATAATCATATCAATTAATACTGCTCGATGGCTTAGTGGTAGTAACCTACATGTAGTAGGCGCAAGCTCGAATCTCGGACAAATCCTGTGTGTAGTTTTCATAAATTGATTTTTATTATATCTTTTAACTTTATGAAACATAAGTTGATAAATCGTGTGTTTCATTTCTAGCACTTTTTTATTTCATAATTTTGATAAACGGTCAAGTTTTGCAAAATACAAAAAGTATTATAAAAGAAAACATAAAAAATCACTTTATCGAACCTACAGTCTTCAATTTGAAACTAACTTAAAATCTAACACCTTGTCATCGAGGCTTGTAAATCGAACCTTCAGTCTTCAATTTGAAACTAACTTAAAATCTAACATCTTGTCATCGAGGCTTGTAAAGCAAGTGATATGATTATAATTCTATTTGTAATTCTACTTTATTCATGTACCGTTGAACGTATGGTTTTCTTCAGCATCCGATAACGACAAATTATTACCGATCATCGAATATTTGCAAAGTGACTATGAAAATATATATGCTTAATTATTGCATAAAACAATGCAATTCTACTGTAAAAGTGGTGTCTGCATAAACAAATTATTCTTATGCACTATCGAAAAAATATATTATTTAGCTGAAATCAATATTCCTGTCGTTACATACAATAAAGTTAATGTTTAATTGCCTTTCAGTGCGATAAACTATCAACACAAAGATGGTTTATTAGTTTTCTCTGTGTATCCAATACGATTCCGACCCCTACTGTCATACCGAGATTTTTCATACAAAATTACTTTGATTTGCACTTTATCACCTGCCAACCATTCACATATTACCTGTATGTCTATCTTATCAGCCATTTGTTACTATTAATAGATTTCATACCAATAACATACAACGTGTAGTCACGTGATTCTGGGAGAAACTGTTTATAATAAATAAGATAAAAAATAGAATAGGTCTCATAAGATACAAACAACCAGATAATTTAAAAGTGTCATTTCAAATATCATGCATGATTTATTTATCATAAAATAGCAACGCTTGACACTTAAAAAAAAGAAGTAAAAGCATCCCTACATTCAATGACTGGTCCATAGGGATACGTCATTAATTCATTTTATAAATATTGTAATGTTGCTTTTTACGATGTCAATATTTGAATATTTCATTTCATTTAGCAACATTATTGTATGTTTGAATTTTTGATATTACTGAAAACAATTGTAGTCTTTAATTGTTCAGTAATTGTTATGCTTTTATTTACAAAAATTAATGCCTTCTCCTACCATAGGTAAAATATTAAACTGTTACAAATATAGTCGCCGGTTTATACCGGCGACTTATAAACACATGGTTTCAACGTTTCACCAACATGCCGACAGCCTGAAGAACGACAGACAGACACACAGACAGACAAACAATAATGTTTAGCTTACTTTCATTATCCATCTCACGAAGAGAAATATTTGACCAAATTAACAGGTTTATCTCGCATATGGGTCAAAGAGAGCGGTCAAGAATTTGTTGTTGATAGTGTGACCTTTAAAATTTGGGGCGCACACCATGATGGTTTTGCAGGGAGCCTTTTTGGATATGGATACTCCTAGGAAGTGTAATATATATTTAAGCAGGTGAATCTATTTTTGGACATCATTTGATAACACGATATCAAATATTGGAATGTAACCAACGTTACGGTGGTAGTGATATTTAGAGGATTTATCCAGAAAGCGGTAAGAATCTATACCTACCTTTGAAGCACAATAAGACGGCATCCCAAATGCAGCTGCTGATGAACCAATACTTCCAATATTAACAATACAACCCTTTGTCTTGCGTAAATAAAGCAAAGCATACTGAAAACAAGACGTAAGTGTTTAGCCGCATCAACTTTGGGATATGGTGATGTAGAAAAGAATAGGAAATGAAATAAAAGAACGACTTTGCTGATTGTGGCTTTTTATGTGATGAATCAGTTTTGGTGACATTCCCGCAACTTTTAGCGATATTTTCTTAACTTATTATATGATCAAATTATAGCAGTAAAATACACAACTTTTTAAATTCATGCAGTGATAATAACTATTATTTTGCCAATAGGAATTCAAGACCGGCCACCACCCTCGCCCCTACAACCCAAGTGCATATTGCCCTTCTAGTATTCAGTTGCCATGATTCCATAATGCATGACGGGATTGTACTTCTCTAAAAAAAGAACCAATCGGTCAGGTGAGCAAAACAAACAGGAACAAAAGCACACACACTTATAAAAAAGTATTTGCACGATGAAAAATTTACAAATTTAGCATCGCCTAACCTTACTTGCTGCAAAATAGCTGACAAGATTAGTGTCGAGTAAATCTCTAAACCCTTGCACGGTGAGATTGTCAATCGAATTTCTTCCAGGATCTTAAAAAGATGATATCTTGCGATTAAATAACATGAACATTTAAAATAAAATAGGTCCATTAATTTGAACATAAAAATACTGAGTCTCGTATTTGAACATAAAAATACTGAGTCTCGTGGCAACACAACATGATTTACACAAAATAACAACTTTACCAGGCTTTCATAACTTATCACATTTAGTTTTAAAAAAACCTGGATTACAAAAAAAAACAAAATAAATTTATAACTCGCATTACATAACATTGTTCAAAGCGTCTGGCGTTTTGATTTGTTGAGAATAGTATCATAAAATTGCACTGCTAGCAAAACCTGTTGATTTATATTATTGCTTAAGAGATATGCAAGAAGTGTGGAGAGGCTAAGGCTAGTAAAGACTTACGTGTTCCAACATTATTTACCAAGCAGTCTATGTGACCATATTTCTTTATCACCTTTTCAATAGCACTCTGCAAGGCAAATATGTGACCAAGTTATTTAAAGGCCCGTTATGCCTCAGAAATGCTTTTTTTTAACTTTTCTTAAACTTTTGTTTTATTTTTAATACGGTTGGTTTTAGGATATGGTGCTTTTTTTACGAAATTTCATGCACTTAATTTAGACAAAGAACAAATCGCAGTTCGCGAAAATGGCCATGCCATGCGGAAATCTGACGGTTAGGGTTTTGGTGCTCATTTTGTACAAAGAAGACTTTCCAAAATGCTACAAAAACGAATTTGCAACAGAATCAGACAAAGGGTGTTTTAACGGCTGGCTCTAGAATTTGTTGTTTTTTATACACTTTATATAGACAAAGAACGAATCGCGGTTAACAAAAATGGCCATGACACGCGGAAATTTCCAGGAGATATTGTTTGGGTTAGGGCCTCTGGAAATTATTTTTAGCAAAAATGGTTCAGAAAATATCCCAGTTCGTAAATTTTTGAAACTGTAACAGACCACTGGAACTTAATAAAAGTTTTTTTGAGAACAGACATAAATACATTTCTGGGACATAATGTGCCTTTAACAGCTAACAGGTTTAGATTAAGCGCCGGCATGTTTCTTTAAATATACCATATCTCTAAGTATATGTGACCAGACTAAAGGTTAGTTGAGATGAGATAGGTTTATCTATTCTATAGCTGATATGAACTTACTTGTATATCTCCTTCTTTGTTCATATCACAATGTATGAAATATATTTCACCGGGCAGGTTATCTGAGGTCAGTGACATCCCTACTTCATCTATGATAAAGAAATAATAGTATTAAATAAACAAATGCGAGTAATCTCAAGATTTAATCTTGCAATAAATCAATCATTACGTTTATTTTTCATTAATATAATCAATGATTCATCAATCAATCAAGCATTCCATCCGTCCGTCCATCCGTCTATCCATCCATCCACCAAACCACCCACTCACCCATCCATCCATCCACCCACCAAACCACCCACTTATCCATCCATCCACCCAACCACCCACTCATCCATCCATCCACCCCACCCACCAAACCACCCACTTATCCATCCAACCATCCAAACGTCCCAACCACCAACCGTCCCACTTATCCATCCATCCATCCATTCATCCATCGATCCCTTCATCCATCCATCCATCCATACACACATCTAATGAATTATAACGCATACCATTTGTATCTAACACAGCAACTTTTCCACCTTCCTCGACTGAAAATAAAAGACAAAATCACGTGACGTCATATAAACGGTGCCTATGAGTGGTTCGGGATTAATAATAACAGGATCGAATGATGAATGATAAGTATATTTTATTCACTATTTATTCCTTTCTTTTCATATGTTATAACACATAGTTTTGTGACTAACAGCAAAAATATCATCCCTCGCTAACGCCTAGTGTTACAATCTTTTCCTCGGGATGATATTTTTACTGTAATTCAAGCCTATGTCTTATTTAAATACTGTTAGTTGTAAAATGAGATCTTTTGTGAAAACAGTTATATAGAGGATATTTGATAAGTTCGGTGTAAGATCGGAATATATTTCACCAAATGAGCATCAAAAGGATAACTTTTGGTGTTCACGAGATGAAACATATTTCGATCTTACACTAAACTAAACAATTTTTCTTTTTATTATATGCAAAGAAACGTTTAAAAGGACATTTTAAATAACCTGATAATGCTTAATGAAAAATCGAGCCAAATAATAACACAAAGTGACGTCATTTACGACGCCACGTCATTAAGTTGATTTCCAGTATTTTGCACGATGGAATTTTAATGAAACAACGTAACGGGCTTCAATTCAAATCAGTGATAGATATCAAATTTATAATTTCACTGTTTCAAACAGTGAAATATCAGTTTTATATTTAACTGATTATTACTATTAACCGCTGACAAACATTTAATAATATGTTTTACCTAAAACATCGACGCAGCCGCGACCTACTCCACAACATCCCCCTGTAACCACGGCAACTTTATTCTCGAATCTTAAGTTTTTTAAACAACGATCTCCAGCTTGTGACATTTTTCACGTTATTCACGTTTTTTTCTACTAATAAAGCTACCAAAACACTTCCAGGTGACCGACCATTCGATTGCTGTAAATAATCTTAACCTTATTTCATCTCGAGCATTTGTTCAAGTTCAGCTATGTTTGCTTTTTTATCATTTCCATTGACCTCAAGTGAGCCAAGGTCATGTTTATATTCATCCATAAGTCAACACCACCGTGTCGAAGGTGAACTTTATATGGAGCAGATGTCTAAATGACATTGTCTAGCTAGACATATCAAGTATGTGTATTTCTAGATAATTATATTATAATTAAAAAGTTCAAATAAAATACAGAACACGTTATATAGAAATGACAAAAGATTCTTTAATTAAGAAAGATAAAGTTACGAACATTGATAAATTTCTGTAACTGTTGATTTACAATTTTTACCCATAAGATGACAACAATTCATTAAATACGACCAAAATTACGTATACACAAATGAAAATAATGCAATTATTATATATATTTCTTTTAATTATGTTTTATCTTTTTATATTGGATTTGTTAATTCGTAGTTTTTCTGTGTACATGTAAAGTGAAAAATGCCACACACAAAAAAATATATATATATTTAGAAAACATTGTCATTTTTTTACCAGCCTGAAACGTACCAACAGGTGAAAATTATAGAAATTACACTGGAAGAAAAAGAAGGTTGAAAACAGTGTACAAAGTAAATCAATCCATTACCTTACATAAAATATGCAAATACATTATCACGTAGATTTTTGAATATAGACAAAATTTCATTCCTTCGATTTTTGTTCCATTCATTATCCTGTAAATGTCCTCAAAACGAATACACCAGACATTAAAATGAAATGATGGTTTCCTAATATGACCCTTTAAGAACATGTCAAATGAATGATTTAGGTTTGTTTCAATCATACAATATCCACAATATCTGATATTGTAACTTCCAGGGTTTGTTCGAATCACATGACTAGTTTTAAAAATACTAGGTAATTCTGTCGGCGTCTAAATTTCGTGAAACATATAAAGATATATTTACGCTTCAAACCCAAAATATAATTTATACAGACATTCATTAACTGTCATTTTAGCTTGATTTGAGTGCCTGTGAATACCTTTAGCATGTCTTGTACTCTTTTTTGGTTTCAGTTTGGAAAAATGTATGTATGGGCCTACTCATCTTGCGGCATGTCGCTTTTAGATAACTTAAATTAAATAAGGATAGTATTCCAAATTGGTCGAGAAGATAAGAATTTGACCTTATTTTTTTCTTATTTGGACAGAGCTAGTGCCTAATACTAGGACCATGAAACTTTTAACGGAATTTATATCAGTTCTTTTAATTGGTGAGAAAGTATACAAAATATTATTTTATACACATATAGATGTTAAAAGATGTATGCTTACATATTTCAGGGTTTATGCACCGTTTTTCGTGCATTAAATCTTCATAATCACTATGTTATAGAATATAGGTTAAATGACTGTGTTATAGAATATATTTAGAAACTCAATTATAGATTATAGGACTCTGTTATGGAATATAGAAACTCAGTTATAGATTATAGGATTCTGTTATGGAATATAGAAACTCAATTATAGATTATAGGACTCTGTTATGTTAATATAGAAACTCAATTATAGATTATAGGAATCTGAATTTGTGTTATGTTAATATAGAAACTCAATTATAGATTATAGGACTCTGTTATGGAATAAACAAACTCAATTATAGATTATATGACTCAATTATGTTAATATAGAAACTCAATTATATATTATAGGACTCTGTTATGGAATATAGAAACTCAATTATAGATTATATAGCTGCGTTATAGAATATAGAAACTCAATTATAGATTATAGGACTCTGTTATGGAATATAGAAACTCAATAATAGATTAAAGGACTCTGTTATGGAATATAGAAACTCAATTATAGATTATAGGACTCTGTTATGGAATATAGAAACTCAATTATAGATTGTAGGACTCTGTTATGGAATATAGAAACTCAATTATAGATTGTAGGACTCTGTTATGGAATATAGAAACTCAATTATAGATTGTAGGACTCTGTTATGGAATACAGAAACTCTTTTATAGATTATAGGACTCTGTTATGGAATATACAAACTCTTTTATAGATTATAGGACTCTGTTATGGAATATACAAACTCAGACTCTGTTATGGAATGTAGAAACTCAATTATAGATTATATGGCTGCGTTATAGAATATAGAAACTCAATTATAGATTATAGGACTCTGTTATGGAATATAGAAACTATATTATAGATCATTTTAAACCTACGTTATAAAATAAATAAATATTCGGGTAGGCTTTATTATACATCTAAATTCTAGATTTGGTTAATTTTTTACCAAGGTTATGCAGTACATTCTGCAACTTCATTTAAGACTGAACGTGGCGTGTACAGATTTACCATAGAACTGCTCATCGTTGCTGATTATAGTGAATTCAACAAGTAAGTGTCGTCTGCAATTGCCAATTGGTTAAAATCTTAAACTGTTGATATTTCTTGATTCATTTTGCATACAATACTTGTTTGTTGTTTTCCTTTTTTTTCGTCTAAATAAAAAATAACGTGCATTGTATTTTATAAGTTAACAGATAATATAATACCAGATTACTTTTCACGTATTTGGAATACTTCACAGTTGATTAATAAATTTGCTGTAGCCGTGTATATGAAAGATATAAACATCACGATTATCCAATGAAAATCGATGTATTACAAGAACCATGATCTATTACTCACCAATCTTTGAGTCACACTTTATTTTCTATATTTTTGTTATACATGTACAAATATAACTAAGATCTTTGTTTGCTTTATTGATGTATATATATTTAATGATATATTTTATAATTTTGAATTACGTCATGAAGGTGGTACCAACTGACGTCAGCCTCGTTGTCACATTCTCAACGTGTAAACGAGGCTACCGAGAAAGTGAAACAGTATGCTGCGGCTCTCATACATTCAGTTAGTATTTATCGTTCCCTTTTCAAACTTTAAAGGGACTCCACTGAGGTTTTTTTGTTATGACGGGACTGGAAATAATTACTCGTTTTGTGAAAAATGACCCAAACTAGAAAATCGTTGCAACGTTTTTCACTTAAATGGGGCGCAAAAAAAAGATACGATTTTCAATTGATTTTTAATTCATTTCTAAACAAAACTATTTCTGAATATATTTCTGTTTTAATGCCCCAGCTTACATAGGTAATAAATTAAAATTTCGTGCATGTAAAACATATTAAAATACCTCGATGATAATAAATATTGTCACTACATATTTTAAAACTGAGGTAATTTGTCGGCCGTATGGACATAAAAGTGGTTGATTAGAAATAAGTCACATCTAAAATCGTTTCGAGATAAAGGAATTATTTTTTAGTGTAGGATTTACAAACTTTCATTCTCGATATTAACGCTATAATAAATGAGTTTCCTTTTCTTTTCATCTAGAGTAATAATGTGTACAGAAGTCTCGAGTTGCACAGTATATACATAGACATCAAGCTTGTTGACGTCCTCGTCATGACCGTAAGTTCTTTAAGTTCAATTCCTTTCATGTCTATGTAATTATCTTTGTTTTTGTAATCGTTTCCAACAATTGTTTTCTGTTTCAAGTAGCATTTACAGGAAACTACAGAGAATAATCCTAAGTACTTTAAACCTATCTTTCAAAAAAACAACAAAAAAACAAAACAAAAAAAAACATAAAATTTAACGTTACAATGGCTATGCTACGACGTCACATTCCACGTCAAATGATGTGCTATGACGTCAAAAAAGTGCAAAAGTGACTTTTGCTGTTCCTCGACCTAAAAAAACATAATGTCATGTTTAGTCTCCTTTAAGAATTAATAATGCAGAGTAAATATAAACGGACGTGCTATAAATTGTGTTCAAAAATAAAGTTATTTGCCAGGGCATTAAATTGTGTCGAATATAATGGATATTTTTACAAGAAAGTTAATTTTCCATTGCAATAATTGTGTTGAATAATATGGATATTCATAAGCAATGTTATTTTATCATGGCGATAGAGTATGCCGAGGGATACATTATATATGTATCTTGCTTTGCAAGTAAACCTGTTTTGTCATGTTATCAAATGTATATTTTAAATGTATATTTTCTGATAAAGTCATCTTACCATGGCAATATCAGATTTATCTGGGGTTTTTTCCTTTACACGTGGAACTAATTAACCAAGGCAAAAATAAGTGTAGGAGCATTTTTTTAATTAACAAGAAGAGCTATTTTGCCATGGGAAAAATATTAAATCGCTATATTACTTTATGATAAAAGAGCAATTTTGCCATGATAAAAGATTTTTTTACAGTCAATGCTTTTATCATCTCTTAAATTACAAGAATTACAATTTTGCCATGGCAAAAGTTTTTGAAATGAAATTTTTAAAGGAAGACCTATTTTCCTACCGCAAATTATTTCATCTCAAACTGTTTTTCATATTTACCTGAAGGGTCTCCTCGCATTATATTATGTAGCTTTTTAAGAAATAGAGCAATTCATATTACATGTATTTGTTTTAAAGGGGATTTGCCATAGGTATAAATTGTGTTAGTATTTCAGTATATGTATGTTGACAAGAAGATCTTTTTCTCATGATATAATGATTATTAATTAAGAAAAAAATATTGACTTTAAATTCCTTTACAAATGTAGCTATTTTGCCATGTCATTATTTATATTGTAGTATTTATACATTCATGGAAATATATTATAATTTGGAGAAAAAAGCAATACATTGTACCAATGTAGATGTAGATCTTATTGCAATGCACGACTGTTGTGTCGTTTCTTTTGTTTCCATAAGCACAACAACTTTGCTGAGGCAATTACGTATGTCTCAAGCGGAACTATTTTGCTAAATAACATTTTGTATTATTTATAATTGTATTACAAGGACAACTATTTTGTCATTGAATGATTGCAATATATTTTGTCGCTTTATTTGTTATAAAAAGTATTGCTCTTTTAACAGAAAAAATACTGAAAAATAACGTGAATTCAATATAATTGAGTGTGTTAAGCGATGGATAGTTTTTATTGTTAGTATGTATGTACGATGTAAAATTAAAGTATGGCTATTTTATACCCCCAGACACCGTCTAGCTCACCATGGACGGAAACAGTTAAGGTACCAGCAGGGTCAACTTATGACGTGGATCCGACCAGGGTTTTACCTATATTTCAACCAAAGTCTGTAGATCTTCAGAAAACAATACCTCATGACCACGCCATGATTCTAACAAAGTATATGTTTCACTTTATATCTTTAAAAGAAAATACCACAATTCATTTCAGCTTTATATTATTAAAGTATCTATCTTTTATTGGACCGTTTGCGTTTGGCTGCCTTCGTAACTAATCTCTGATATCTGCATCACAGAGGCTATCGTGTGTACTTATTTCAGCATAGTCTTAGATCAAAATTAAGACCTACATCTTATTACAATAATTAAAAAGAAGTAGATATGCTGACAATCAATTTGTTTTCAAATCAAAAACATTATATGCGCTATGTTTTATGACCAGCATTTGATATTTATGACTTAAAAATGATTTTAAGGTATCCTTTGTACCATGGTGGAGGATCTACATTCTCAGGTAAGGAATCGTTACTGATTTTTTTTATGTTTTTTTTTATTTGTCAACCTTTATTTAAATGGTGTTTAATAATTTGCTTGTAAGTTTGACAAGTATTGCCTTTAAGACAGGGATGTATTCGTGTTTTACAGTTTATGCTTCACTGACACAGTATGTTTTCGTGTTTTACAGGGTATGTATTCACTGACGCAGAATGCATTTATGTTTAACAGTTTATGCGTTCACTGACGCAATGTATGTATTCGTGTTTTACAGTTCATGCGTTCACTAGCGCAGAATGTAATTTTGTGTTGCTGGGTATGCATCCACTGACGCAGAATACATTCTTATAATTATTCACTGGTGCAAAATGTATTCTTCTTCGTTCACTGACGCAGAATGTATTCGTGTTAACTGTTGATGCGTTCAATGACGCAGAATGTATCAAATGTTTTTGTTTACAGGGTATGCGTACACTGACGCAGAATGTATCAAATGTTTTTGTTTTACAGGGTATGCGTACACTGACGCAGAATGTATCAAATGTTTTTGTTTTACAGGGTATGCGTACACTGACGCAGAATGTATCAAATGTTTTTGTTTTACAGGGTATGCGTACACTGACGCAGAATGTATCAAGTGTTTTTACAGGGTATGCGTACACTGACGCACAATGTATCAACTGTTTTTGTTTTACAGGGTATGCGTACACTGACGCAGAATGTAAGGCCAAAAGTGTCTCAATAGTACAAGACAACGAAGACTTCTACACCGCCCAACTGATTGCCCACGAAATAGGCCATAGGTAAATATCACGCATTGATGTTTTTCTCTTTTTTTTTGTAAACATACGTAAGCTTTGCTAGAACTAACCTGTTTTCTCACACAAACAACTTCAATAGTGATACGAAGCCGCAGCGACAGAGGAAAGACATTAGACAGACTGCCTTTAGCAGAAATGAAAAAATAATAGGCGCGATGCCATTGAAACAACGCTCTTTTTGTTTGTTTCGTTTTATGGCGCAACAACAATATTTAGGTCGTAAGGCGCCGGAACAGGAAAGATACTTTTAGTGCTACAAACTTTAAGCTACACCAGGGGTCAAAACTACCTCATCTGCTGGAGCTTAGAGATGGATAGACCTAATTCAAATCAATTTAAGTCGCCTCTTACGAGGTTAAACAGTGGCTGCAATTCTGATGTCTCAACCCGTAAAAGCAACCCCTCAGCCGCAAGGGGACATACCGTTTTCCATTAACATTTTCTCCATTTATAAAAGGATGTCATAAATACTTTGTATAATTAAAAAGTTTATTTGTAAACACAAAACGGAACCTATCTACAATTTACTGTACAAATGTTTTTAAATGTATGTTTTGTTCTTTTATGTGTAAATTTATAGCCTTGGGTGTCAACATGACGGAGACGGAAACTCGTGCCCAACTGGTGCCGGGTATGCCATGGAGGCCGGTTTTATTCTAGCCAACAAAAAGAAATGGTTTTTCTCTGATTGTTCACTGACGTCTATTTGGGGCTACCTAATGAATTTAAACAGGTGTGTTGATATCTTTCTTCATTTTGACATAAATGTGTATCATTTGTTATATACCTAAAGGTATAAAAGAGTTAAAGAAAATCTACTGTTGCCTAAAACGAAAAAATGAAACTTTTTCATGGATCAAATAGAGCACTTTCAAACGACATTGGAAATCATGATACAGAAATAAAATTGAAAATCGATATTTATAGTAATATTAATATTCTAAGACCAACAGAAAATATATCCAGTAAACCTCAGTTGAGTCCCTTTAAAATTCAGTCACATGATTTCGCTTGTTATCGGAATGTTGCTTAGCTGTGTTCCATTACACAGAAAGAAACAGTAATTTCACCGTAAAAGACAAGCGTGTAACAACATAATAATGCACTTTAAATAAATAAATATAATACTTTGACATCATATCTTCAGAATACGTAACAAATATATAAGATGGAGTAAATTGGTTGTAATTGTCAGTAATACGTTGTGAAAACATATGTATTCTATATACATCAGTGCCTGTGTGGAGGCAGTGTTCCCGTGGTAAGATTTCGGGTCCTAAACCCAGTGAACGGAAATTCGTGTCCTACTGTAGACATTACCATGTTTCTTCATACGACACCAGTTCTAGTTTGTTCCCGGAAGTGGTGCCAAAAGTGATTGGTATTAGTTGCAAAGAATTATTTCTCAATTGAGCTTAAAGATATATATTTAATCAAAATGAAACAAACCACTGGCTTGAAATTAATAACGGGAGTCTGGAGGCACACTATGTACGGTCACTATTTCTGTATACAAAATGTTCTCTCATTTTGCCCTGATGTCAATCAGCCGGTGTTAGGGAGCTAGCTAGTGTATGATATTTCAGGAACCATACGAACTGCATGAAAGTTATCGACAACAATCACCCAGATACACACGTGGCAACTGCGACACATGAATGGTACGGTCAAGTATACACATGGGATGAACAATGTCAAATCCATTATGGCCCTACTTCGTATCTCTGCAGGGTATGAACAATAATTCTACGTACGTCAGTTTCATTAAGTCAAAACGTGTTATTCTTCTTGAAATTGGTTATATGATCTACAACATTCTTATTTATTCGATTTCAATCCATTTAAAACTGACCAAATCAGTTCATATCTTACGTACTATAGCTTTGCCAATGTCGCAATGAATCGTGCAGTGAGGGTACTGCCCAGATTGCTTGCAAGAAAACAATACATTGTTATACTCCAATATTTTTTGTTTTAAAATTGAATACTTTTTAGACGGTGCGAGGGGTGCATGTTGCACCTTGAATTATCATTCGAGAACAGACTTATTCAAACCGAGTCTGTAACTTTCACCTTTTTAATGTTGTTGCCTTTTCCCTCATTGCTTGTGCAAAATCATCACGTGTCTTAATTGGTGGGTGGGGTATTTTAAACCAACACAAACGAAATAAGTTACAGCTTGATTGAAAAAAAGAAACATTTTATTACCCTAGGATCAGTATCACGGTAGCTATGACAACGTGTGTTTGAAGATGTTCTGTTACGATCCAAAGAAACGAGCGTGTTACTATCTTGATGGAGGTGATGGAAGTCCATGTGGTACTGGCAAGGTTCTGTAGAACACCTTTTATCTATTTCGTCAGCCGTGTAAAAGTTCGACATGATTCGGCATCTTCCGTCCCTTTCTGTTAGTTGTAAAAATAGGATAAGCGCCTGTATTAGCTAGAGCAACAATAATCATGTCAAATTTAAATAAACGCTTTTAAAATAGATGTTGTTTTTTTTTGGAATCGTGACAAAGTTTGCAGGATTTTTTCGAAGCCTTAATAGTTAAAAATATCTTGAAAAGAAATTCCTTTGAACGCTATATTTGTAATAAGATTAAGGTGATTCCGCTTTGTCAGCCATGTTTGTTTTCACTTAGTCTGTCCAAAGTGAAAGTAGGCCCAAATTCATATAATAACAAAGCTCACGATGTAAAATAGTGAACCATTTGAAAGTACACTTCCAGGTTTATGTTTTAAGGACTATTATCAACCAAAATAAAAATGATATCAATAAGAATATTTACCTTGAAAGTGCTACATTTCTGAAGACCAAGAACAATCTGTTGTTAAGTTTTATGCACATTTCATGAATGGCGAAATCCATTTTAAAGTCTGCTTTAGTGTCAACAAATGCTATTTTTGCAGCAAATACAAAAATCTTTCAAAAATTAATTCCAAATAAATCAGTATCTCATGTCCTTCTAAGCACATGGCCTCCATTATTTTTTATAAAAAGTAGTGCAAGGAGACAATCACCATTTATAGCCTTATGAACTACAATTAAAATGAAAACACAATCAGACTTTAAAATCTAAACTTTTTATTGTGTAACAGTGAAGTGTGTCTGTTTGTCATGTTCAGAAGAAATAGGTAAATTATTTTTATTTTCATGGTACTACTTATTTCGCATGACATGGAGGCCATGTTTTTTCAAAGTCAGATAAACTAGTTTCCTAAGATTTAAGTTTTTGCAAGTTTGTCAGTGTTTTCTGCAAAACATAGCATTTGTCTGCACGAAAACTGACTTTAAAATGGATTTTGCCATTCATGAAATGTGCATAAACCTTAACAACAGATTGTTCTTGGTCTTCAGAAATTTAGCACATTCAAGGTAAATTTTCTGATTGTTATCATTTATATTTTTGTTTAAAATAGTCCTTAAAACATAGAACTGGAAGTGTACATGCAAATGGCTCATCATTTTACATTGAGAGCTTTGTTATTATATGAATTTTGGCCTACTTTCACTTTGGACAGACAAAGTCTTGGCGAAAACAAACATGGCTGGCAAAGCGGAATCACCTTAAAAAAACACGACATGTTACTGATTGCGTGTGACATCAGTCATTCAAGGTCAGGGTCTGCGACACCGTTTAGTAAAGTAGTGAACAGAAAACAGAAAAGGGTCTTCTTACTCTGATGTCATACTACATTTTGTAATAACTAATATCTACACTGATCATACATATACTTTTTTTAAAATTAAATCTTGAATGTAATAAGATTTCATTAAAGTGTTTGACTGTGTAACATTCTGCAAAACATGACTGCTAAAGCGCTTGTTCTTCCTAGTTACCAGCAAATAAATTACGATCTTAAATTAAAATACGCCTAAATATGGTACTTCACATTTCAGCTAGTATTTAGTCTGAACTTCGACAAAAGATAGATTCATTCTGACAATTTCATTTCGATTCGTTCGATATACATATGTATAGATGTAATGTTGTTTTTTTTTTTGTTTTTGTCCAATTCTTTTCGTGTTTTTTTACAACAGTGGTGCATGTCAGACGTGTGTGTAACCAACTCTGCCAGTCAATTAAAGAACATAGATGGTAATAACATTGTTACATACAAAAATAGATAAATGACCACAAACCGAGCAATGTTATTTTGGACATCCTTCCTAAAGATGGTGGACATACAATAATAAATAAAGGAAGATTATAATCTCTATCAGTAAATCAAATAAAATCAGCTTTTTCTATTTAGAAACACCGTGAATAATATAATATATAATTTACATTGTAGTTACATTATTTATTATGTTTCAGTATTCCCCCGAAGTGAAATGTTGTGAATAGGGCTAAATAAAATTTGAATTGAATTGTTTACAAGTAATCTATAAATTAAAATTTGTAAAGCAGTTTAAAATTACATTTATATATATCTTTTTAAAGCAATTCTCCAACAGACAATTTGCTGATCTGGTACCGTATTTTGTAATGGGTATTACGCATTTCTCATAAATGGTCCCTTTATCGGGATGGCATCACAGCAAAAAGACAAAAAAGTGCATCTTGTTGTAAGACTCTTACTCATGACTCTTAATATTCTTAAGCACAACAAATGACTTAAGAATAAAATGTATTAAGTTACGTTAGTAGAATCTATGCAGAATGTGTTTTGTTTATATCTATTGAGTTTAAAGGCTAGCTGCTTGCTCTTTTTTTTCAGATGCTTGTGTAGCCGGAGACCAACCGGGCGTTGTTTACAATGGACGAACCTGTCAACAAATAGGAACCAGTCACCATAGTGACTGCAGTCATAGTTCTGTCAAACGCAAGTGCTGCTACTCTTGTTCAACTACACATCATGGTGTGACATCACATCCGGTTACCTCCGGCCACGTGACATCGGCACCAGTGACCTCGGCACCGGGAACCACATCGGGTACTGACATTGACAGACAGTGTGCTGCAAAACATGGAACTGGATCGTTTATGTGCAGGGTGAAACACATATTTTATTCATTTTCAATATTACATACAATAGTAGTTGATCAGTAGCTGTTGCGTAATAAAAACGCTCTCGCCGTCAGTTTTCTTAAGACCACATTTAGAACATTTTGTCGAGTGATAGGGGGGTTTCCATTGTGACGTCATTATTTGACAAAATACCAATATGTCGGCTAGCATAGTGCATAATCAGTAGAAGAATTCATTTTATCTCAACACTTACCCAGTTGAATTTAAATTTATTCAGTAGTGTTGCCCTACATTGAAATTTAACTATTTAATTATTTTAGAATTTTACAAAACAACAAAGGTAATGGATTAGCCAAATGTTAAGTGATAATTAAGCCTTCAGAATGAAGTCTGAAGAAAATCGTCGCTGTATATTGTTGGCAATTACATACCATCATAAGGAACGTTTAATTTCTTTTTTATTTACTTTTTTGGTCGCTTTAAATGGGCTATAATTGTTTTCTTTTATAGCTCTACTTGATAAATACGTTTCGATCTTTAGCCATTACATTTATTGTATTAGCTGGCATAAATTGAAAAAAAAATCATTCACAATTTTTATCGACATTAACCTTACATATTTGCTTGCATTGTGTACAGTATACATGTATGGTTGCTGATTTGGAACGCTTTTATGTGTCTTGTTATTGCTAGCGACAGCATGACAAAGCGCCAAACGGGGCGTTGTGTACGGCGTGTTGTCACATTGTCGCTCGGTTTAAATCGAAGGATTGGCTTATTAGCCAAGCGGCAGGGCGACATCGCAACATGCGCCGCGCGACATCTCGCCGTTGAGTGTGCTTTGCTAGCGACAGGACGACAACGCGCCAATTGTCGCGCTTCGCTAGCGACAAGACGAAAAGGCGATAACGATATAGGTTGTGTTGTCGCTATCTACAACGCAACGCGCAAAGTGTACCAAATCAGCTATTGTAACATTATGTGCAATGTTCATGTTTAAAGATTGTAAATTTGTCGTATATTTTCAGGGAGCAAAATCGTACAGTGGAAAAACTTACCAAGACACCGTTTGTTGGGATTTACAATGTCACGATCCTAACAGGGACAATTGGTGTCTCTCTTCTAAGGCCGATGACCGAACATCTTGTGGTAACCAAAAGGTTTGTTACTAAATCTATAAGGTTTGTAACTTAATCTAGTTAGAATACGTTGACCAGTGTGCTAAGTACAGGAGAGTGGAAGCGATCGTGTTCTTTTGAGTTAAGCGAATAGTTAACATTGAATGGACCAAATACTCGTATTAAAAGTCAAGTGATTTACCCTTGATCCCAAGGTTATTCAAAAGAAATATAGAAAAACATACATTTGGTTGGGATCTAAAAGCAAAGATGTGCGTGACGCTTTCCCTTTTATAAACATCAGTAACTGTTTAAGGAATTTCTGAGATGGAACCATATGGTGATTAACGCAAAGCAAACTTTACACTTTTCTAACCTCGCTATAATATATTTTTATCTTATTACAGTGGTGTCAAAATGGTGTTTGTGTTCATAATAGCGCTGCTCCAGCTGTCCCAGGTAATTTGAATATGTTCAAGTGATGTTTTAAAATTATGGCATTTATCAACCATTTGCAAGGAGTGCATGTACTTAAAGCTAATTACCAATTCTAGAAACGAGTGTTAGCCTGTCTTTAATAAAAAGAATGCGATATTTATAAAAGACTAAATTACATCACGAATATGTGCACATATATTTAATTATGGTGTACCGTTAGGGGCAAACACAGTGACTCACATTGACATAATACTAGTATATGTGTGTGCATGTGCGCACGTGCGTTTGTGTATGTGTGTTCAAATAGGTAGCTTCTCATAGATTTATATGTCCGATAGACTTGTATCAAAAACGCACATTATACTTTGTTGAGCATTAATTTTCGTATGTTTCGTAGATAGGTCAGATCACGCATTAAAGATCTAACGAAATTTAATTTCATCTACAGTAACTGTAAAATAATTTTGAATTACTTCATTTGCCTTTATTAACTTTTTTGGAAACAAGAGGGCCATGATGGCCCTGAGGTCGCTCACCCGTATATAGCCCCCCCCCCCCCGGGGCCAATTTTTACCCAAGGGCTTTTATTTGAACAGATCTGGTTGACACCCATAAGAAGATGTTTCATGCTAAACATCCAAGTTCTAGCTCATTGGGTTTTTTAAAAGAAGATTTTTTAAGTTTTAACTATACACATAGTGTTAAAAACAATGACACCCCTGGGGCAGGGCCAGTTTTGACCCCCTGGCTTTTATTTGAACAAACTTTGTAGATATTAACTTAAAAATGTTTCATGTATAATATCTAAACTCAAGCTATTTGGGTTTTTTCAAAGAAGATTTTTAAGTTTTTGCTATACACATATAAGGAAATCAATGACCCCCGGGGCGGGCCAGTTTTGACCCCAGGGCTTTTATTTGAACATACTTGGTAGACACCCATTAGAACATGTTTCATGCTAAATATCTTAGCTCTAGCTCTTTGATTTCTTTAAAAGAAGTTTTTTAAGTTTTTACTTTATGCATATAGGGAAAATCAATGACCCCCTGGGGCGGGGCCAATTTTGACTCCAGGGCTTTTATTTGAACAAACTTGGTAGACACTCATTAGAAGATGTTTCATGCTAAATATCTTAGCTCTAGCTCTTTGGGTTCTTTAAAAGAAGATTTTTTAAGTTTTTACTATATGCATATAGGGAAAATCTATGACCCCCTGGGACAGGGCCAATTTTGACCCCAGGGCTTTATTATTGAACAAACTTGGTAGACATTCACTAGAAGATGTTTCATGTCAAATATCTAAGCTCTAGCTCTTACGGTTCTTTAAAAGAAGATTTATTAAGTTTTTACTATATGCATATAGGGAAAATCAATGACCCCCCGGGGCGGGGCCAATTTTGACCCCAGGGCTTTTATTTGAACAAACTTGGTAGACACTCACTAGAAGATATTTCATGTCAAATATCTTAGCTCTAGCTCTTTGGGTTCTTTAAAAGAAGATTTTTTAAGTTTTTACTATATGCATATATAGAAAATCTATGACCCCCTGGGGCAGGGCCAATTTTGACCTCAGGGCTTTTATTTGAACAAACTTGGTAGACACTCATTAGAAGATGTTTCATGCTAAATATCTTAGCTCTAGCTCTTTGGGTTCTTTAAAAGAAGATTTTTTAAGTTTTTACTATATGCATATAGGGAAAATCAATGACCCCCTGGGGCGGGGCCAATTTTGACCCTAGGGCTTTTATTTGAACAAACTTGGTAGACATTCACTAGAAGATGTTTCATGCCAAATATCTAAGCTCTAGCTTTTACAGTTCTTTAAAAGAAGATTTTTTAAGTTTTTACTATATGCATATAGGGAAAATCAATGACCCCCCGGGCCGGGGCCAATTTTGACCCCAGGGCTTTTATTTGAACAAACTTGGTAGACACTCACTAGAAGATGTTTCATGCTAAATATCTAAGCTCTAGCTCTTTGGGTTCTTTAAAAGAAGATTTTTTAAGTTTTTACTATATGCATATAGGGAAAATCAATGACCCCCTGGGGCCAGGCCAATTTTGACCCTAGGGCTTTTATTTGAACAAACTTGGTAGACACTCATTAGAAGATGTTTCATGCCAAATATCTAAGCTCTAGCTCTTACGGTTCTTTAAAAGAAGATATTTAAAGATTTTTCTTTCGGTTGCCATGGCAACCAGAGTTCTGCATGAAATGGAATTCTTTGAACAATCTTGATAAAGCTTCATACAAAGAGTATTCCTGCCAAGTTTCATTAACATTGGCCTTGCGGTATCATAGAAGATGTCCTTAGAATAATTAAAATGTGGACGGACGACAGACGACGGACGCCATTTGGTTGGCCATCCTAAAAGCTCACCTGCACTTTGTGCAAGGTGAGCTAAAAACAGACAGCCTACGAATATAAAAGCCCACGAAATTTGTTCTTTTTTGACATACCACGGAAATGCGACATAAAACAATGTGCGTAAAATCGTATTTGACAAAATTTATGATTTGACACTACCTAATCAGGAATGAGACTTGTTTACTGAACTAGGTACCTTAACGCCAACCTTACAAGATCAAAATTCACCGGGAATTCATTTGTACTTTTTATAATATTTCTTTCAGTCTTGTTATATATATATTTTATATTGGCAAGATGCAATAAATCTTATTTATTTAAGCCAGTTTGAATAAGCATGGCATAAGCGATATTAGGCGTGGCCTGTGGGTTATATTTTGATTAAGGATCAAGACTATCTTGATCAACTAACAGCGTATAAGGTCCAATATAAATTAACCAAAAGCTTAAAGTACCATTGTGACATTTTCTCGACAAATTTCAGACCAAAAAAATTATAAATACATGATTTGGTATCAAAGTTATTTTCCACTGCAATATAGGACCTAGGTAGTGTTTTAATAATGTATAAGCATGCATGCTTAAGTCCATTCGAGTCTTTTTCCTAAAACATTCACATGTACACAAGGAAATATTTTATGGTAAGAACTTATATACATTATATTCAAATATGCGACGTCATTATTTGCTGTTTCTTTTAGACAATTGTCCGTGGGGTAATCAGAAAGGCGTGGCAATATACGGCATGACATGTGATGAATTTAAACAACCAGAGAACCATTGGCGTTGCTATGACAACTTCATTGCTAAGATATGCTGTGATGCATGTAACTCCGTGAAGAGAAATGTGCGAGGTAAACGGAAAGATGCGAAAGTTTGCCAAACTTAAGCATGATTTCTTTTCTCAGTTTTTGTTTTTAAGTCTGAAGATCATATGGTGGATTTGCAAAATAAACTATTGAAGGAGGGAACTCAGATGCCCCCATTTGAGCATTATTCCAGGCACATGCGACACTAAGAATCAAACCAGCTAAGCTGGATAGCGTCGTTGAGTGAAGGAATAAAAACTACAATCAGGATTTTAGTCCGCCCCCTTTCCCACTGGTCAAAGAATGCCCTATTTATATATGTGTTATTTACTATATGCATGTTATATACATGTAATAAGTATACACACCTTAAATGCATGGACGTAAATGAGCCGCGTCACGACAAAACCAACATAATGTGTTTGCAACCAGCATGGATCCAGACCAGCCCGCGCAGTATAGACCCTATAACAATTAAAGAAACTGATAGCGAACAGCATGGATCCTGATCAGACTGCGCGGATGCGCAGCTGGTCTGGATCCATGCTGGTCGCAAACCCGTTATGTTGGTTTTGTCATGACGCGGCTCAAATATTTTACAGGATGTGAATATGGAGATAAAAGCGACTGGTGTCAATCGAACATAGCCCATTCAGCTGACAGACGTAATTGTTACTATGGTCATAATACAGATCTGTGCTGTGAATCTTGCAACAAGTTTAAGAATGCAGCCCATGTTGGTATGTTACTACTCTTTCTTATAAATTATATATCTATTTCTCATTGCGTTTGGTTTTGTACAGTTCTTTTAACTGTTATGTTATTTTGACACTGTAATGGTATTCCTTGTGAGTATTAATGTGTCATAGTTTACAGGTGTTGCTGTATTACAGGTTGAGGGAAGTGATGTCTCAATATGTTACAGGTCGTGCATATTGATCTGTCTCCCAGTATTACAGGGTGACGATGAGAATTGATGTATCTCACTGTATAAAAGGTTGTGTGAATTGACGTGTCTGACTGTATAAAAGGTTTTCAGTGTAAATTTATCTCACTGTAATACAGGTTGTGAATACTGATGTAGTCACTGTATAAAAGGTTGTGAATATTGATGTAGTCACTGTATTACAGGCTGTGTGTATTGTTGTGTCTCACTTTATTACAATTGTGAATATTGACTTTCTCCCTGTACTACAGATTTTGAGTATTGGCCTGTCTCCTTGTATTACAGGTTGTGAGTATTGATCTGTCTCCTTGTATTACAGGTTGTGAGAATTGACCTGTCTTGCTGTATTGCAGGTTGTGAGTATTGACCTGTCTCCCTGTATTACAGGTTGTGAGTATTGATCTGTCTCCCTGTATTACAGGTTGTGAGAATTGACCTGTCTCCCTGTATTACAGGTTGTGAGTATTAACCTGTCTCCCTGTATTACAGGTTGTGAGAATTGACCTGTCTTGCTGTATTACGGGTTGTGAGTATTGATCTGTCTCACTGTATTACAGGTTGTGAGTATTGACCTGTCTCCCTGTATTACAGGTTGTGAGTATTGACCTGTCTGCCTGTATTACAGGTTGTGAGTATTGACCTGTCTTACTGTATTACAGGTTGTGAGAATTGACCTGTCTCCCTGTATTACAGGTTGTGAGTATTGACCTGTCTTGCTGTATTACAGGTTGTGAGTATTGACCTGTCTTGCTGTATTACAGGTTGTGAGTATTGACCTGTCTCCCTGTATTACAGGTTGTGAGTATTGACCTGTCTTCCTGTATTACAGGTTGTGAGTATTGACCTGTCTTCCTGTATTACAGGTTGTGAGTATTGACCTGTCTCCCTGTATTACAGGTTGTGAGTATTGACCTGTCTCGCTGTATTACAGGTTGTGAGTATTGACCTGTCTCACTGTATTACAGGTTGTGAGTATTGACCTGTCTCGCTGTATTACAGGTTGTGAGTATTGACCTGTCTCGCATTAATACAGGTTGTGAATATTGACCTGTCTCACTGTATTACAGGTTGTGAGTATGGACCTGTCTCGCAGTATTACAGGTTGTGAGTATTGACCTGTCTCGCAGTATTACAGGTTGTGAGTATTGACCTGTCTGTATTACAGGTTGTGAATATTGACCTGTCTCACTGTATTACAGGTTGTGAGTATGGAGATAGACAGGACGCCTGCTTGTCATATAGATGTCACACTTACAGCGCAGACACTACCCAGAAATGTTGTGAAACATGTAGCCCTGTAACTCTTATTGGCTAGAAAATTAAAATCAAATAAATTTTGTTTAACCAAGCAGAGTGAGAAGTATTATTTTTTAATCTATCCCACACATTAACTCTTTCTGCAAATTCATGAAATTTGAGTTGCAAATATGCTTATATTTCAACAAAACAGACTTGATATTGAGTTGAATTTTCTACTTGTGACAAGTATATCATGTATATAGAGGTACATGTACTGTTGTGCATTAAATCTTAAATAAAATAGGAATGGAACTGTATTATATAATTATATAATCTCAATGCAAGTACATGTATTTTAAACCTAAGATGAAATGAAACTGCTTATCATAGTTCATACAAACAACAGGTTGTATGACAGACAGCAGTTGCCTTACTACAACTTTTGGTTACAAATTTTTTCTCTCAAATATGACGTTTTAACTACAATGTAGTACATTATACTTTAACAATTTATTCACATCATACACTTCATGTTAAGACTAAGACTATAATATATTTGAACATACACTTAACATATAATGAGGAAAAAATACGTATATAGAGGATATTAAATGAGTGTAAGTTAAATACTGGATTTATTGAACGGGTTGAATTCAACTCTGGCGAGCAAAATATTATTTTATTCAACAAGTTCAATAAATTCAGTAATGGACCTACACGAATATAATATTCTATTTATCACATACCCAAAATAAAGATTGTTTAAAGTTGTTTAAAGTGAAAAAGAATCATTTTTTTCATTGACGGGCCTAGAATGTAACTCTAACATTTAGCATGTCATTTCACTATGTTTATAACAAAAATGACATCAAGTCAAAAAATATGCACGGCCGTGCAATACCATCTTTACGGAGACACAAAAGCTTTCATACTCGGGGGTTTGCTTCAACTTTTTCAAACTTTTCTTCAAATGTAGCACTGATCACCTCTTGTGTTCACTGTCCAATCATGCATAACATGAATACCATTCTTAGGCTAATGCACACCTAATATTCCCATGTGACTGCCTTGGAAGGGGGCTTATACAAACAAGTATGACACACATCAGCTGTAGCTATTTCATGTTTCAGCTCATCGGAGGTCTTTAAGTCTGTACACTTATACACTAATTTTGCTAGTTTTAAAGCACATGCATGATTACTATCGTCACACCTCTTTTGATTGACCCATGACCTATGCCTCAAATTGTGTGTGGCTTTTGAGCTGAAACATCATCATCATCGTTGTCTTCAGATGTACAAAATTTATCTTTCATTCTCATCGTGGATCTATACATCTCACATCATGGCCGGTGTTGGAGCCGGAACACTCATCAATGGGGAATCTAGACGTTCTGCTTGAGCTGTAGGACTTGGCTGATATGATTCAATCTTATCCACTAGGGCATTGTACGTGGTATTAATTATATCACTATGCTAAAATAAAAATAATTTTTTTTTAAGCTATTTAAAATCAAACTGAAAAAAAACTAACGCTGTGTTAACTAGATAAATATTATATATGTCCCCAACCTTCAGTTTTGTCATTTAATAATGCAGCTTAAATTACTTGTGTAATGTTTGGTAACTTTTCTTCATTTTCTCAGGGAGCAGAGTATATGATGCCTGAATTTCAGCCAAGCAAAGGGCTATAACTCCTGTGTTTACTTATGAAATAAAATAAACAAGATTGCATTTGAGAAAAATGCAATGCCACCGCATTATAAGCTCTATGCCTTGTACCTTCAGACAAAAATATTTTTTATTTTTTTACTATATGTACATAATGAAAATCAATGACCCCCGGGGCGGAACCAATTTTGACCCCAGGGCAATAATTTGAACAATCTTGGTAAAGGTTCACTTTGCAAAGTCTCAAGCCATATATTTAACCTCTAGCCTTTGTCAATTCAGAGAAGAAGATTTTTCAATTCAGAGAAGAAGATTTTTCAGATTTTTCAAGTTTTTACTTTATCGTATAAGGAAAACTATCGCCTCTGGGGCAGGGTAATTTTAACACTAGGGGCATAATTAAAACAACTTTAGTAGAGGACCCATAGATGATATTATATACCAAATATCAAAGCTCTAAGCCTTGTACCTTCAGACAAGAAGATTTTTTAATTTTTTACTATATGTACACAGTGAAAATCAATGACCCCTGGGGGTGGGGCCAATTTTGACCCCAGGGCTATAATTTGTACAATCTTACTAGAGGTTCACTACATAATGTTTCATGCAAAATATCTTAACTTTAGCCTTTGTAAATTTAGAGAAGATGATTTTTTAAGTTTTTACTATATACATATAAGGAAAACCTATTGCCCCCGGGGCGGGGCTAATTTTGACACTAGAGGCAAAATTTGAACAACTTTGGTAGAGTACCTATAGATGATATTATTTAACAAATATCAAAGCTCTTAGCCTTGTACCTTCAGACAATAAGATTTTTTGACTTTTTACTATATGTATATATTGAAAATTAATGACCCCAGGACGGGGGCAATTTTGATCCCAGGGCTATAATTTGAACAATCTTTCTAGAAGTCCACTTCACAATGTTTCATGCAAAACATCTAACCTCCAGCATTTGTCAATTGCTTGAAGAAACTTTTTTAAAGTTTTTACTATAAGTTTTTACTATATACATTTAAGGAAAACCAATGACCCCCAGGGCGGGGCCGATTTTGACCCCAGGGCTATAATTTGAACAATCTGGGTACAGGTCTACCAGACAATGCCTTATGCAAAATATCTAAGCTCTTGGCCTTTTGGGTCTTTACAAGAAGGTATTTTAAGTTTTTACTATATGAACATATAGTGAAAATCAATGACCCCCGGGGTGGGCCGATTTTGACCCCCAGGGCTATAATTTGAACAATCTTGGTAAGGGTCTACCAGACAATGCCTTATGCAAAATATCTAAGCTCTAGGCCTTTTGGGTCTTTACAAGAAGGTATTTTAGGTTTTTACTACATGTACATATAGTGAAAATCAATGACCCCCGGGGCGTGGCCGATTTTGACCCCAGGGCTAATATTTGAACAATTTTGGTAGAGGTCTACCAGACAATGCGTTATGCAAAATATCTAAGCTCTAGGCCTTTTGGGTCTTTACAAGAAGATTTTTTAAATTTATTCTTATAATTCATTTTGGTTGCCATGGCAACCAGATTTCTGCATGGAATGAAATTCTTTGAACAACTTTGGAAGCCCTTCACCCAAGGATCAATCCTGACAAGTTTGGTTGAAATTGGACTAGTGGTTTTTCACAAGAAGATTTTTTAAGTTCACTATATAATCTATATAACACACACACACACACACACACACAAACAAACACACACACAGGTGAATCGCTATATGCCACCGCATCGCAGATGCTGCGGTGGCATAAAAACACAATAAAACAAAAACACATGTCAGCAAAGCTTCATCCAAACAATAGTATGTTTAATGTTTCATAACATTTTGTTGTACAAAAAGAAGTGAATGATTCAGAGTCTCAGGACATAGATACTGAAAGTGTAAATCAAAACACTTAAATTTAAGCAAAACAGCTCCCATAATTTGCTTTACAGCATATAAGTTAGATAAGATTAATGCTAATTGGAAAAAAGAAAATATTTTCAAAAGCACACATTTATAGATTACAAAATCTCAGCACTATGTCCATCATTGGTCATTGTTTTATTTGTTGGATTTTAAGTAATATCAACAGTCACTGTAAAAGGTCATATGGCGACTTTCCAACTTTACTGGTGGAGAAAAACACCATGTGACCCTTCAATGCATTATGTCAGGCCCAGGCAAGCACCTGACTTCCATAAGTAGCTGAATAGCTCAAATATGAAAAAAATACAAAGTCACTAATGAGATTCTAATCCTTGCCCCACACTGCTGTGGGTCCGAATCTTTTATGACCTCCTCAGTGATTGTGTGTGACAGTCACTTAAAATCCAACAAATCATCTTGAGGACAAAGTTCTGCATTGAGCTACTAAACAAAACATTTCTGAATTTACCCCTTGATTTGGTTTTAAGGCTTCCATCAAAACAGTCAGCTTTTCTTGCGGGATTCTCGGGTGGACGTAATAAACAAGGCGTAACATGTGACGCAACACATTATGTTTGGACATACCACTCTGAAAACAACAATAAAATCAAAATTACCTAATGATAAATCTATATCTTAACTTGACAAATTGATGCCTTTTAAGCATAGTAAAGAAAATTTAACAAATCTGCATGTCTGGTAGAATATAATACAAATAAAATAAATGAGGCAAATCTTAGTGCTCCAGCTAATGACTCTTCAGAATGAGGTAAACAAATTAGCCTCAAATGAGTAAAAAAATTTCTTCAAATTGATAACATGGTTGATTCTAAATAACAGTATCATTAAAGCAGGTACAGGTAGCCGATTGAGCTTGGACACATTTTCAAAATTGATTGTACATAATACATGTATATTAGAAAATACAGATAGTCTTAAAGTGGTGTACAATTTGTACATTAAAAATTACAAGTTTTGTTAAATACAAAATGCTAAATACAGAATTGAGTTTGTATTTTCAAAAAATAATTATTATGTTAAACGCTAGTATGACCTCTAAAGAGCAACCACCCTTTGGGAGACTAATATTTTGATTGATTCTGAGAGGTATTGCTGTAAGATAGGTTAACTTTATTGTGAAATCAAACTTTAGGAAGAATTGATACTGTTGTTGTTAAGAGGTAATTTCTCTTTAAAGGGGCCGGCCATTATGCAGAGGTATTACTATTGATTATATGAAGCTTTGGAGTAACATGAAATTTCCATCAAGATTCTTGATATTGACAATTTGAACTAGCAAAAACATGGTTTACATTAATATGGACATTAATTATGCCACACTTTATCACATTTACATGTGTTAGTTTCTGTTTGGGATTTAAGTCAAAGAGACATATCTAGGGTCATGTGGCAACTTTCCAGCTTTATTGGCAGAGGAAGACTGAAAGTGCTCCTCTATGAATAACTGTAGTCACAGGCAGACACACCAGTTGTACCAACCAATCTCCTGTAAGTTAAACCAATCTCCTGTAAGTTAAACCAATCTCCTGTAAGTTAAACCAATCTCCTGTAAGGTAGCTAGAGAGCTTTTTCATATGTAAGAATGCATAGTCATGAAATTCAATTTGAGTCTATAATAACTATCTTAAAAACTGTTTTTAGCAGCCCTGACATATCTTGAACAAATTCTTCAGTGGTGTTTACCCTGCTGTTTGAATTTAGGTTAAAATATTTCTGCGAATGACCTGAGTGGGTCATATCATTTTTATTGTTTTTCCAAGATAGATTCCAAGACTTCTTGAAAATGTACCAACCTTAAAATGAATATATGTTGATACATGCATTCATAGCTAAAATAAATTTAAAGTATCCTTTCCCCTTTCATTTATCATTGGCTAAAAACAGCTTAACTGATTGAATATTGGTTGTTCCATGATAATGTAAAACATGCTTAATTTGCAAAATGGACTTGTCCTGTTTAGAATTCAGAACTGTGAATATAAGTAGACTTGTCCAGTTTAGAATTAAGAACTGTCCACTGTGAATATGAGGGATATTGGTATAAGAATTTCCTACCAGACAAGAGATACTCACCTTAAAGAATTGGTTGAAAACCACCTCATGGAAGTCATCATTGGTAAACTCTTCAGCCATGGAGATAAGATAAGATACAAGGGAATGAAGGAAGGTGTCATCAAAATGGCGCTCACTCTGACAAATTGTCAGACACGGCAGCATCTGACAAATGGCAACCTTGTCACGATTTTTACAAACCTGGAATGGTACAATTTTCAAAAAGGATAAATACCCCAAATATGTGGATAAGTAAACAAATGTCAAATATGGTCAATATACAAAATTGTAAACAAGAGCACTGCACATGTGATGTTAATGTCCTTGTCCATTTAGAATAAAAAAAGTACTTTTGACAAAAATTTAAAAGGGGGCATAAGTCCGTAAGTCCTCAAATATAGTTTTCAGAATTATGCCCCTTGTCTTTCAACTAACTCTAGTCATAATAAGCAAGGATTCAAAGTTTCATATTGATACCCTTTAAAATTATATGAGCAATGGGCTCATTTGAGTCTGCATAGCTACAACAAAGGCAATAATTAAGCAGTAATAATAATAGCTTGACTATTTCATCATAACAGACGAGCTAAAAAGTAACCTATTTGCACTCGTGAAAATATTTAACAATTTTTACTTCTTAAAGGCCCATTATGCCCCAGAAATACTTCTATATTATTTTTCAAAAACATTTTATTTTTGTTTTTTTGTTATAGTTTCCAAAAAGTTACTAATTAAGCCAATTACCTGAAGCATCTTTTGCTCCTGTTGCTTTTTGGCAGTAAGTATACATTGTAGTTATAGTGTTTTATTATTTTGTATGGAAGTTACATGTAAAATACTTCTTTGTTTACATTTTGATTCTTTTAGGACAAATAATTTCACATTTAACGTTACTTTCATCAGGCAAAAAACGTCTATAATATAATAAAGGCATAATGTGCCTTTAATGAAAATTGTTTCATATGTATTTAAAGCAAACAAATATTCTCTACTTATCAAGCCTAAAGGATCAGTGCCCACAAGAATTACACATTTAAACAATAACTGTATTAGTTATTCAAGGAGGGAGAATTTTTGATCATTAAAAATAATAAAATCAAACAAAACATAATTATTATACAATATTGATGTATTAGCAATATTTTTCTGTTGATCAATGATTTATACACATTTGAAACAAATCAATAACTTTGTCTAATTTATCACATGTCTAGAAATTATGAAAAATTTACCTAAAACATATTCAGAATCAGGTGGCTATGTCTAAAACAATGCTGTTGCTACAGTATGTATTATAGACATATTGTACAGCAGTGGTGACAAAAATGGTCGGAAAAAAACACGAATAATTATAATTGTGCATGTATTAACATGACATTAATTATAATGAAGTCATTTTTAAATTGGTAAAAAATAGAATTGATCAGTAACTGTAAGTAATTATCAACATATCGGTGTATCAACAATTTTTCTCATCCAATATCGATATATCATTGAAATGCTTTACCCAGAATTAATGAAAGCGCTTAAAGATATTAACTTTATTATATAACTGTATCTTTAGATCATTACAGAGACATTATGTTACCTGTAAAGTATAATATAGAGCCATCATGGCAGCTACTTCACTCTCTTTTATAAAGATGAGAAACAGTTGTGAAGGTGGGCGTTGCACTGGCTGTGCTTCATCAGAGAGACGGGCAACCACTGGACGTATCTGATCATCAACTACGGTACCAGCAAGGGTTGGCAGAAACTTTGTTATCAGAACTGGTTCCTGATTTAAAAAAAAAATCAATTTTATTTAATACATGACTATAAGCCTCTTTGTTATGTTTCAAAATCTATATAACAGAAACATTCAGTTGTTGCTTAGAAACAGATTTTTTTTTCAAATTTACCGCACTAGTGGGATTTGTACCCAAAGCAGTGGCGGGAAAGTAAATACAAGATAGCTACCTTAAACACTTGGGCACAACTAAAGATCATATTACTCTTTATTCTGTATAGTACTACAGAGTAGTCAGTTTATTTTGCTTCAGTTGTGTGTTATAAACTGTAAATTTAAAAAAACGAAAAATTTAGAAAAAAAAATGACTGAAATTTTTTTATCTGACTTCCCCCGTACTGCCAACTACCAATTTTTTTTCATCTTAAAAGTATTTCTATATAAATGGAAGAGAAATAACAGTTTTTTCTTTAAAGCGTATAAAGCTATAACACAGCTGCCTACAGTTTACAAAATTTTTACATTTGAGCAATATGGCATAGGCACAAAATTATTGCTTAACCGTTAAAAATATACAATAAAATATCAGCATTATAATTATATTATTCCAGAACATTATTTTCATGTGTCTTAAATAACAGAAACACAGTACTATGTTACAACTCTTTCAGGAATCGACCATAAAAATTATGGAAACAGCATGATTACACAATTTTTTAATTTTTTATAAATGAGCCGCGTCACGACAAACCAACATAATGGGTTTGCGACCAGCATGGATCCAGACCAGCCTGCGCATCCGCTCAGTCTGATCAGGATCCATGCTGTTCGCTATTAGTTTCTCTACTTGTAATAGGGTTGGTAAGCGAACAGCATGGATCCTGATCAGAATGCGCAGGCTGGTCTGGATCCATGCTGGTCACAAACCCATTATGTTGGTTTTGTCATGGCACGGCTCATTTTAGCTTTATACCAGTTTTGGTTCTTTGAAAACCTGACTGTCTATCATATCCCAGGCACCAAGACCCAAACCAAGCATTCGTAGCAATAGGATAATGTCTGTACTTTCCTGCAATGTATGAATTTCAATTTATTCAAATTTATTAAATGCCTGAACATAACTTAAGTTACTAAGTCTGTATTCAATCAAATAGTTGCTATACAACTGAAAGATGTGACTCTGTTCATAAAACCCAAATACATGTTTTATAACACATGGCCAATTTTTACAAAAATATTATTGCACAGAATAATAAACTAAACTAAATAAAACAAGCAGATACAAGTTAGATTATTCAATTTATTGAAATATTACAATTCAAAAGAATCGAATGAAATTTCATCAATATCAGTCGAGTTGTACTTCTTTTGTGGTAAATAGGACAAATTTTACTATTTGAAATTTATAATCTATCACTTTATTGTTTAGAAAGTGCTATTTGGGGAAAATTATTTCATAACAAAACCCTCTAAAATAACCAAAAAAATTATGTGGACAATGTGTTCAATGCAACCTTTAGCTATTACTTACTCTTGGTAAAACATCGTTGTTAATACACTGTTGGAGAGCTTTCATAATGGAGAGAGCCACTGTGTTGAGGGCATATGGATCACAAAGAATCATTGACAAATCACTGAAAAACAAAAACAATTTTTTTTTCATTTTCAGCAGGCACTGTGTAATAGTTTGCTAACTAATTTTTGACTGGGTAAGTATGTACATTTATCCCACCTACATGTAACTAAAGGTGTACAGGTAAGAAATCCAGGTAATCCTCAAATGCATCAGTGCTATACACTAGGCATAGAAAAGAACAATGGGGTCTATTCAATAAGAGCTAGAGACTAGTTCCAGGATTCCTTTATAGCTGTCTCTGAAGTGACTAGACCAAGTCTAGAGTCATGTCTACGTCCCCGCAAGTGATAAAATTGACATTAATGGAAGATAGATATACATTTTGGCCATTTAATACGGAAGTGGCTAGCAGTATGGGTCCGTACGGCTAAGCAAAAGTTCTAGCATTACGGGAGTCACATACAGCTAGCCAGGGAACACTATATTCACAGTATTTTCGAGCTGTATGGCACTTTAAAAATTACATGAAAGTCAAAAATGAATATGTAATTGAGGATTTTAACCAAGAAACAGCAAAGAATGTCTTTGTATGTTTACTTTTTTAAGATGAATGGCCATGTTGGCTAAAGAAAGTTTGAATATCGTACATTGTCATCTCAAGATGGCGAGAAAAAAAGAGCATTTTGTTGCAGTTGAATAACATTGATTGAAAAAAATTACAGATAATTATTATAATAATAATTTTTTGTTTCAATAAGTTAATTTTCAACACCTTTAAAAATGAAAAGAAGCACAAAAATAATTGTTGTAAGATTCTGATAATTGTATCAATTACTGACAGTAGAAGTTTGTTCATCATTAAGAAAAGTTTGCATGTTTCGTGAAATGCATTCTAAAATTCTATTGTCAGTCCCTGTACAAGCTTTTGGCTAGCCGTACGGGCAACTTCCAACTAATAATCTATAATAAATATAAGATACTGACAATGAATAATTGCAGTATTTGTTTTAGTAAAATACCCTCTAGTAAAATATTAAATATTTTAATAATAAAGATATAATTAAAAGTAGTGCTAAATACATTGTACCTTTATAGAAAATACAACGGTGGATCAAATTTGTATAAAAATTTTACCCAAGAACAAACTCCTGTCCCCTTTTTATCCCATCCAAGAAACCTTGTAACTCTCTTGCGCGTTTGGAGTCAACAAATTTTTCTCTTATACATGCATCAACACACCACGTAAACTTATGACATGGATCAACTGCACAAATGTCATTCACTTCTTGATCATGCAAAGACATTAAAAGCTCTGCCCTTAGTGTACAGTAATGCATATTCCTTGTCCGTAAGAACAGAGTTCTGAGGAACTGTAACACCATATCATAAAGCCTAACGCTTTTCCCAACCATATGTGTAAGCTTCTGAACGACTTCACCTTGGCGTCTTGCTTTTGGAGACATTAAGAAAAATGTTGATAATGAATTCTCATGACTAAACAAAGTGTTTTCCTTTTCCCTGATATACTGAGAGAGCAATGGTGAAACCTCGTCTCCAAACAGCGCCTGATTTTCTTCCCAAATCTGTCTCTTCACTTCTGTTGCAGCTTCTTTATACAATTCTTTATCATCAAGGATCTCTTTCAGATAAACATCTTTAATCTTAGGTAAAGTTTTCAACATGTTCATTATAACAGGCCTTAGTGATGCCACTCTTATCACACAAAAACTCTTCTCTAACATGGTCTCAATCTTTTGAAAACGTTCTTTATCATCTCCATTAACCACTTCGTTTATTTTCTGTATCAGTTTTTCCCGAACTTCCTCCAGTACTGATTGGTGAAATTCACATCTTTTGACACCATGAAGATCTAAAAATGGGAGAGCAGGTTTTAGAGACGGTAGGAGTACGCCATTCTCCTGCTGGAACTCTTCAATGGCAGCCAGTGGATCCGAGCAGTTTGTGAGGGCTTCGCGGAGATGGTCCCCACCAGGGATTCCAAGAGGTTCGAGACCTGACATTTATTCGTATATTTAAACTATTAGTAAGTGAAACAATTTTTTTTTTTTCGAACAAAGTGCTTCTTCCTCCAAATTGAAGAGTTTATGTGATTCACAATCGGAACATCTTCGGCTATTATTCATAAAAGGTCAGACTCTACTATTGATGATCGTAGGACAAGGCGGACAGTGAGACAGGGCGGACTGTACCAGGATGGACCGTATGTTTGGACGGGGCAGACCATATTTTGCGACAGGGCGGACCGTGACTCGAGACGAAGCGGACCGTGATTTAATGTAATAAAAATATTTAAATATTGTCTTTTTTCTTTTCATATCATTATAAACATATACAAATAGTAATTAATGCATTTTATTAATTGAGAATTAAACAGTTAAATGAAATTTTTAATAACCGCATAGAGTTGGACGTTATGCAGGTGATAATTGACCAATTATTGGGATTTTGATTGTTAAATAATAAGAGGATAAAACTTTATTTAACAATACGATATAAAAAGGCTTAATTTGTTATTCGATCGCGTCTGCATGACATTGGTAACACATGCAATTAATACAAAACAATAGTGTAAAATGACGATGAGTCGCATTACAATAAATGAACACAAAAGGTAGACAAAATTCACATCTACACAGATTATTTTACTGATATACTAAAAATAATGACATAGTCAGACAAACATGTATACGTTAATTTACAAAACTTAAAAACCGCATGCATGTATACCGATTGGTTTACATATTAATATATATTCTCTTACCGTAATTAAACACATAATATTATGCACAATTATAAACCATCAAGGCTTGCGCAAGTATTAAGATTTTTTACGTGTCTTGTTGAAATATTCTATCCATAATGCCATCAATTTTGACTGCATGCTCCTGGTTGAATTCTGCTCAACTTTTATTCCTTCGACTAGTTAATTTATATCAGAATGTTTTTTGTGCTTTGTCTGATTTGTTTAGATGCTGTTTGTATAGCGAATTGATATACATCTTGGTTTTCCTACAGTACGACTTAACTAATATATAAATCATCATTATTCCTCTATATAGCTTAAATGTTTAGAATGGTCAATGGTATATAAAGAAATTACAATTAAGATAATTCTGTCAAGTTTCATAATATCAGCGCAAAAGGAAAATATGTTTTACCAGGGTCTTTCAAATAGAATTTCTATTTGAAAGACCCTGGTTTTACACATGAAATTCCAACTATTTCACGCTACCTATTTTAAACTTTAAACAAATAACAGAATGTTTAACAATGATGAATAACCTAGCTGTTGGGGTCTAGGAATAATTACACCAATCTTTAAAAACAGGGACGTAAATAATTCTAAGAATTATCGAGTCATATGTTTTATTAATGTACTTGCAAAAAATAACTTTCATTTGCTTTTGAACAGATTAACTCACTGGTCCAATAAATATATTATACGATTGACAAAAATCAATTCGGTTTTCAAAAGGGAAAGTCAATAATTGATTGCATTCTGTACTGAATAAGACTTTAGACTTGGGTACAAACTTTATTGCTGTTTGTTGATTATAATATGTTATTTTTTGATAGTATTAATAGAACACATTAATGACAAAAAATTAACAGAAAAAAAGTTTGTAGTAAATTTGTACGGGTCGTAAAAGTAATGTATATATATTGTTGAGTCTTGTGTAAAGATTAATTAAAAATCATCAGATTTTTTCATCTCTAACATAGGGAAAAATATTTTTTACAATTGTATGCTGATGACCAAGTACTTTATGCTACATCACCGGAAGCATTACATTCTATGATTAATGATCGTGTAAGGTATTATGGGTAGTGGGGGTCTAACAATTAATACTACAAAAACAAAAATATTAATATTTTACAGAGGCCGCCAGTCTCGGCATAACTTTAATATTGAAGATACAACCGTTGTTACGTCATTTAAATATTTAGGTGCATGTATTATATAATTAAAAATGGAAACTGGTACCGCAGTCAAAATGTATTGCACAGCATGCTTCTCGTGCATTATATAGCCTGTTCACCATTTTTAATAATATCGAGTTACTAATTAGACAAAAATGAGTTTATTTGACAGTTTGGTCGGCTCTATTCTAAATTTCGGGTATGAAATATGGGGATTGCATGAAAAGACCGAAGTAGAACTGTGAAGAACTAAATTCTTACGTCGAGTATTATGTGCAAAACGTTTAACAAACCTTTCCACACTTTTCGGAAAACTTGGACGCATACCACTTGATGTATTTAGAAAAACTAACATAATTAAATATTAGATAGAAATATTAAGGCGCACGGACTCTTCACTAATGAAGGATACCTTTACGTTTTATATAACTTGGTGTCATTTACGGAAGAGCGAAAATCGTATAAATGAATTAATTGCTGCAGATAGTCACGTGCACGAATTTTCGTAAAAAAAAACACAATAACTTAAAGCCAACAGTTCAAACACCATTACACTGATTTCATTGCAAATTCTTTTTTGTACAACATTAGAGGGTCTTCTTTGTACAAAATGAGCATCAAAACCCTAACTCAATCTGTATGTCCTATAAATTTCCACGTGGCATGGCCATTTTGTAAACCTCGATTTGTTCTTTGTCTATATAAAGTGTATAAAAACACCATATTCTAGAGCCGGTCGTTAAAACACCATTTGCCTGATTCCATTGCAAATTCGTTTTTGTACAACTTTGAAGTGTCTTCTATATACAAAATGAGTATCAAAGCCCTCACCCAAATAATATATCTGTGATATTTCCGCGTGGCATGTCCATTTTTGTAGTTTTCGATATAACCGTAGATCAACTGAAAATTTGCAATGCGAAAACATAGAGACAAAACCTCGATCACAACTTAATAAGAATTTTTTTTAGTGGTCCGTGACAAAAATCCGCCTTAGAGCATGTTCTTCCTGGAATTCAAGTTGTGCACAGTTGGCCATTGTAAAATGAACGCTCCTTACTTAAAAAAATTAAAATGATCAAGTAGATTGGGATGGCTAAGAAGGTCTTCGACAAAGAAATACAAGGCTAAAAATATAGCTAGTGCTAGGAAAATGATAGCAAGTGGCTATTTGTCGCTTTTAGAAGTGGCACATTGATGTCTTAGTAATTTCGTAAATAATCTCCATATTCTAGAGCGTACCGTTTCAACACAATTTGTCTGATTTCGTTTTTGTACAAATTTAGAATGTTTTCTTTGCACAAAATAAGGACCAAAGTTCTAACTAGAACAATATGCCCAGGAAATTTCCGCATGGCATGGTCATTTTTGCGAACGGCGATTTGTTGTCTATATAAAGTGCATGAATTTTCGTAAAAACACCATATCCTAAAGCCAACTGTTCAAACACCATTAGTCTGATTTCATTGCAAATTCGATTTTGTACAACAGAGGGTCTTCTTTGTACGAAATGAGCATCAAAGCCCTAACCCAAATAGCATGTCCGAGATATCTCCGCAAGGCATGGCCATTTTTTGCGAACGGCTAATTGTTCTTTGTCTATATAAAGTGCATGAATTTTCATAAAAACACCATATCCTAAAGCCAACTGTTCAAAAACCATTAGTCTTTTTTCGTTGCAAATTCGTTTAAAAAATGACAGTGCCATGCGGAAATTTCCTGATTATAGCAATTATGACGAATGAGTGGTGGAGACCACAGACACTTGGAGTATAGACTCCGCCCTTTCTTCGCCCCTGAATATAAACAAGAGGGCAATGATGGCCCTGAAGTCGCTCACCTGTATATAGGCCCCCGGAGCAGGGCCAGTTTAAACCCCAGGGCTTTTATTTGAACAAACTTGGTAGACACCCATTAGAAGATGTTTCATGCTAAACATCTAAGGTCTAGCTCGTTGGGTTTTTTAAAAGAAGATTTTTTCAAGTTTTTTCTTTACACATATAGTTAAAAACAATGACACACCTGGGGCAGGGCCAGTTTTGACCCCAGGGCTTTTATTTGAACAATCTTTGTAGACACTTACTATAAATTGTCTCATGCTTAATATCTAAACTCTAGCTATTCGGGTTTTTTCAAAGAAGATTTTTAAGTTTTTGCTATACACATATAAGGAAAATCAATGTCCCCCGGGGCCGGCCAATTTTGACCCCAGGGCTTTTATTTGAACAAACTTTGTAGACACTCACTAGAAGATGCTTCGTGCTTAATATCTAAACTCTAGCTATTTGAGTTTTTTCAAAGAAGATTTTTTAAGTTTTTGTTATACACATATAAGGAAAATGAATGACCCCCGGGGCAGGGCCAATTTTGACCCCAAGGTTTTTAATTGAACAAACTTGGTAGACACTCACTAGAAGATGTATCATGCTTACATAAACTGTAACTATTTGGGTTTTTTTTCAAAAAAAGATTTTTTAAGTTTTTGCTATACACATATAAGGAAAATCAATGACCCCGGGGTGTGGCCAATTTTGATCCCAGGGCTCTTATTTGAACAAACTTGGTAGACATTCATTAGAACATGTGTCATGCTAAATATCTTAGCTTTAGCTCTTTGGGTTCTTTAAAAGAAGATTTTTTAAAGTTTTTACTATATGCATATAGGGAAAATCAATGACCCCCTGGGGTGGGGCAAATTTTGACCCAAGGGCTTTTATTTTAACAAACTTGGTAGACACCCATTAGAAGATGTTTCATGCTAAATATCTTAGCTCTAGCTCTTTGGGTTCTTTAAAAGAAGATTTTTAAAGTTTTTACTATATGCATGTAGGGAAAATCAATGACCCCCCTGGGGCGGGGCAAATTTTGACCCAAAGGCTTTTATTTGAACAAACTTGGTAGACACTTACTAGAAGATGTTTCATGCCAAATATCTAAGCTTTAGCTCTTCGGGTTTTTTAGAAGAAGATATTTAAAGTTTTTTCTTTTGGTTGCCATCTTTTGGTTGCCATGGCAACCAGAGTCCTGCATGGAATTAAATTCTTTGAACAATTTTCAAAGGTGACCACCAAAGGAACATTCCTGTGAAGTTTGGATGAAATTGGCTTAGTGGTTTGTGAGGAGATGTCATTTAGAGTAAAAGTTTACGGACAGACAGACGGTATGACGCCGGATGAAAAGCGATCACAAAAGCTCAACCTGTCACTTTGTGACAGGTGAGCTAAAAAAAACTAAAAGTATTATCTATTACAAGAATTAGTTTTAACTTTTTGCTTATGAGACGGTGAAGTGTCTGTTGTGGAGACTATATTTCACTTGTATTAAACAACACAACAAGAAATCATATATTAAATCTATTGCAATATAGTTTGATCATTCCAAATGGTTACTAGTGTAAGTAGCTATTAAATAGAAACAAGAGGGCCATGATGGCCCTGAAGTTTATTTGAACAAACTTGGTAGACACCCATTAGAAGATGTTTCATGCTAAACATCTAAGGTTTAGCTGGTCAAGTTTTTTCTTTACACATATAGTTAAAAACAATGACACACCTGGGGCAGGGCCAGTTTGGACCCCAGGGCTTTTATTTCAACAATCTTTGTAGACACTTACTAGAAAATGTTTCATGCTTAATATCTGAACTCTAGCTATTCGGATTTTTCGAAGAAAATTTTTAAGATTTTGCTATACACATATAAGGAAAATCAATGTCCCCTGGGGCGGGGCCAATTTTGACCGCAGGGCTTTTATTTGAACAAACTTTGTAGACACTTACTAGAAGATGCTTCGTGCTTAATATCTAAACTCTAGCTATTTGAGTTTTTTCAAAGAAGATTTTTTAAGTTTTTATTATACACATTTAAGGAAAATCAATGACCCCCGGGGCAGGGCTAATTTTGACCCCAGGGCTTTTATTTGAACAAACTTGGTAGACACTCACTAGAAGATGATTCATGCTTAGTATCTAAACTCTAGCTATTTGGTTTTTTTCAAAGAAGATTTTTTAAGTTTTTGCTATATACATATAAGGAAAATCAATGTCCCCCGGGGCGGGGCCAATTTTGACCACAGGGCTTTTATTTGAACAAACTTTGTAGACATTTACTAGAAGATGCTTCGTGCTTAATATCTAAACTCTACCTATTTGAGTTTTTTCAAAAGAAGATTTTTTAAGTTTTTATTATACACATATAAGGAAAATGAATGACCCCCGGGGCGGGGCTAATTTTGACCCCAAGTCTTTTATTTGAACAAACTTGGTAGACATCCATTAGAACATGTTTCAAATATCTTAGCTCTAGCTCTTTTGGTTCTTTAAAAAAAGATTTTTTAAAGTTTTTATTATACACATATAAGGAAAATCAATGACCCCCGGGGCGGGGCTAATTTTGACCCCAGGGCTTTTATTTGAACAAACTTGGTAAACACTCACTAGAAGATGATTCATGCTTAGTATCTAAACTCTAGCTATTTGTTTTTTTTCAAAGAAGATTTTTTAAGTTTTTGCTATACACATACAAGGAAAATCAATGACCCCCGGGGCGGGGCCAATTTTGACCACAGGGCTTTTATTTGAACAAACTTTGTAGACACTTACTAGAAGATGCTTCGTGCTTAATATCTAAACTCTAGCTATTTAAGTTTTTTCAAAGAAGATTTTTTAAGTTTTTATTATACACGTATAAGGAAAATGAATGACACCCTGGGGCGGGGCCAATTTTGACCCCAGGTCTTTTATTTGAACAAAATTGGTAGGCACTCACTAGAAGATGTTTCATGCCAAATATCTAAGCTCTAGCTCTTTGGGTTTTTTAGAAGAAGATATTTAAAGTTTTTTGCTATGGCAACCAGAGTTCTGCATGGAATTAAATTCTATGAACAATTTTCAAAGGTGACCACCAAAGGAACATTCCTGTGAAGTTTGGATGAAATTGGCTTAGTGGTTTATGAGGAGTGGTCATTTAAAGTGGTCATTTAAAGTAAAAGTTTACGGATGACGGACGGACGACGGACTGACGGCGGACGGACACCGGACGAAAAGCGATCACAAAAGCTCACCCTGTCACTTTGTGACAGGTGAGCTAAAAAGACATGGTGATGATGGAAAGTTATCACTAACCAAAATACATATTTTAAACTTGATACAAGTTAAAAGATTTAGTGGTGGTTAAGGTGTCTGCCTCTCAATCCAGAGATCATGGGTTCGAGCCCTACTCGGGTCACGACCATGTTTCTTCATACTGGTTCTCCAGTACTGGTTGGTTCTAGGAAGCAGACTCCAAAGTGATTAATATAAGTTGCAAGAACTTGTTTCGTAATCGAGCTTAAATAAATATGTTTAAACCAAAAGATTTAGCTATTTCTACCTTATGTAACTACAGGAAAAGATTAAGAGGCATTTTCAAGCACTTGAGCGTTTCATTAAGAGGTTCAAGTTATATTTTTCAAGTAAATCAAACTCTGACATCCAATATTGATGTCCTGATGATCCGTCCTATTTTAAAACACAGACTCGACAACTTTATTCAGTGGGGTAAAATGATAGATTGTTTGATTAAAAGGTCTTATTATTAATGATTGAATCACTGTCTCACTGATATCACAGATATGGTTTCGCCTAAGCACATATATAAAACGTATTTTGAGTGTCACTTGATAATTTCAAAGCTGTCCACATTATTATCTTTCTTTTCTGTCGAGGAAAAATCGAGGAATTCCTGTTGTCTGCGAGCGAAGGACTCTGCCACCAGTAGAGGAAACACAAGAGTTGCCTCGGCACAGATCTGTAATGTCCAAATATATCCAATAGTTAAACATACATATCTTTATGATAGGACGTTCACTAAAAAGCCTATCTTTTAAGCAATATAAATGGGCATGATAACAAATTTCCAAATCACACCATTATAATCCATGTTGTCTTATCAGACTCTACCATCTTAGCTGATCAATTTTGATATAGAAATCAATAGAATAAAAAATAGACGATTCAAATGTCAGAACAATATTTGAATATTATATACATTTGGCATGAGAACAGATACCTTGCTCTCTTTATTCTATCATTAAACATTTTAATAATACCCTACTTAACACACCTAAATTAAAAGACAAACATACAAAGCTACAAAGCCTTAATGTAATAAGTAAAATGAGTTTGAGAGATCTGACAAGACAATAATCTTTCCTTTTTTCTGACTGTGTTTTAAGCCACACTGACACTGTTAATGTCATATGGCATCTGCTCAGCTTTAATGGTGGAGCAAGACTTCAGACTTCCTCTGCATTATTAAAGGCACCATTATCATTGTTATCTAACTGGATAGCTTCCTCACAAAGTCCCTGGTGTGATTTGAACCAACAGAAGTGAAGGTCAAGTAATTTAAGGTCACTGACCTCAACAACTTAGCCAATTAGGTCCCTTAAATCATCTAATTATAATAAAATATGAAATTAACTGAGTATTCATCATGATTATAAAAATAGTAAATTATAAAAATATTGAATTCTAATAAAAACTTTTGAATGGACTAATACCTTTACAGGATTTGCAGTCTTCTTTATTTTACCCCAGGATATTGCCTCATCTGGGCTTGCGCCCGAGTCACTGCCATCAAACTCTGATGCAGTGTTTAAATATACAGCGAAATCTGCACCATTCCTCTACATTAGAAGAAGATAATCAAAATACTTTATTACATGATAATAATAACTTAAAATACTATTAAGACTTCAAGTGCTTTTATTTCATGAAATAGGAAATTTCTTACTTTATTCAGAATTTTAAAATATATAAGTTAAATAGCCTATAAAATGCATATAAAATGTACTCTCTTATCTGATTCTTTAGCAACTTCTCAACAATGCAGTCATTGGAAAAGTAATGGGTATGGATAATATCAAATAATGTAAATAATTACCATGATTTTAAATTAGCAATGCATGACTGTATGAGTCATTTACATTGTAACCCTGCCTTTATAATAAATCATGCATTAAATGATTACCATAAGATTAGCATTGCATGTATGATGCTTTATTACTCCGCCTCCCAGAATGATCATACCGGTGTTCACTGACTGTACAGCTATACTGTTTACACCTCGAATATCTGAAATATACATCTGAATTAATATTCTAAGTCTTGCTTGTAGTAAATATACCTCAGATATATGAAATGCACACTTGAATTAATATCAAAAGTCTTGTTTGTAGTAAATAGATCTTGGATATTTGAAATGTATACATACATTTAAAGATCCTGTAACACAATATTTTTATGGTTTTATGTCATAAATATGATTCTCAATTAAGATTCATCAATTTTGTAAGTTCCAAAAAGCATTATTTGTGAAGATATTACAGAATTTAACATGTCATGTAAATAAAGGGAGGTAATTTAAAAATTATTTTCTATAAAGTCGAAGTTGAATTTTTCAATAAGAAATAAATGCATATATTTAAATGATAACATATAATATGTACAAATATTTGCAGTACATATTTGACATATTATTTGATGTTTGAAAATTGTTTTATAAGCATAATTATACACATACATACTGAAACAAAAAAGAAACTTTCTCCAAGTTTGAATGTAGATATGTAAGTACAGTTTTTCAATCCTTTTGAAACCCGATTTTTACGTTGATTAAACATATCGGGCTTTTATACGGGGATTAGCAGATCGATTTTTCAAACAAAACAAGTTTTACAAGCTACTACATGTATATAAGTGTGTACATCTAAGTGGTATCCTTGAACAACTGGCACATACTTTGCGAAAGTTTCTTTTTGGTTCAGTATATATAATTTCACTTAAGTGTGGTACATGTATACAACTGCAATTACAACATACAGGATCTTTAAATCACATGTCTTGTTTGTAGAAAATATACCTCAGACATTTGAAATATGCATTTGAATTCATAAGTCTTTAAAGTATGTAGTAAATTAGGACATCAACTCTTATAAGATAGGAAGTACATTAGGGTATAATGTATATGAATAAAGGTTATTTAAAAATCCAGCATTTTTTAATAGAGGTCTTACACAGTCAACAGTAAATGAGTATAAAGGGAGGTAACAGTAATGTTTCCAAAGGTACATTCTACTAGAGCGGTAACTTCTCAGACATTATACAGGATGTTTAAAAAAGCACTTAAAAGACAGACATAAACATGATAAAGACAGACAGAAAATGTCAGCGCAATAATTGAAAACATTTCAAAACCTTTCTAAAATCATATACACACACATTTAAAAAAAAACTCAAAAATTTCTCAAACCTGTTGCATGGCACATAATAATGACAAAATGCAAATTGGGTTTAAAGTCATTTTAACGGTTTAAAGGTCAAATGGTGACTTTCCAGCATTTCTGGTGGATGGAGACCTTTTTGTGCCCCTTTAAGTATTCATTAAGGCATAAGCATATACAGGTGTAGACCATCAACCTCCAATAAACTAGCAGCAAAGGTTCTTCATATGAAAGTATTTACAGGATTTGAACCTTAGCATTGTTATTCCTAAATAATTTGAAGTCAGCAACAATACCCTCTTTATAAAAAATATTTTTTTTTAACAAAACATACTTTTAAACCAGTCAAGACTTACCTTGTACAAGATCTAGAACCAGTCCAGGGTTTTTATAGGAATGAAAGTAGATCATATCTCCTAGTGAACCATCTGTGATAGCTGGACAATAGACTGGAATGTTGTTTTTATGTGCCCAATAATACACAGAATCTGGGTTGTTAATCTCCTTGCCCAGTCTATCTATCATTCTGGATGGAGTCCACAGGACATTCTGAAATAGAAAAGAGTTAATATTGACCTTGTTCTAACAATTGACAAAACAAAAACCGAATCTTTTTTTGACACAGCATCTTAACTCTAAAATTATATCATGATTTGAATAATATGCACTGGAAGTTAATACAGAGGTTGTCATGCTGTTAGTCCTGATGCAGATAAGAATATGAGGACATTTTACAATTCAATGGCAAAGGTGTCACAAAAATACAATAAATAGAACTTTGGCATCAATAAGTTAGTCATAAAAATACACAAACATTTCACGATGATATGGAGATTTTCAAGTAAACCTGTGAATAAAAACCAAGACATAGCTCCCAGTATAATTTGCTGAAATAAGTGATCACTTAAGTAAAACCACACACCTTTCATTGACAAGCTGAATTTCTTTTTCACATAGTAAAATGCATCATGCTAACTAAAGACAATTCCACAATAGTAAAATACAGAAGTATTTTTCTCTCTGTAATAAATATTTAGCAGTGACAGAATATGAATTCATTTTAACTGCTCATAAAAGGAATGGTTTTCTGAATAAACTCTATTTGATAAGGTCATGACCTATAGAAATACAGTATGAAGCATTTGTATATATGCTAGGGAAGCATTTACCTTTTCCTTCTGTTCTTCCAGCATTTTGTCCAGTATAGGCATCAACCAGTCCTCAAACTTGCAGTAATTGTCATTCGGAACTAGCAGATTGCCTATCCTATTTATACCTTTATCCCTAAGTTCTCTGCCTCTCAGTGAAAAATCGCCCACATAAGTTGGGGCCATACATTTTATAAAATCTTCCTCAATACCTCCAGCTGTGGTAACGATACAGTCCACCTGCAACATATAATACACTATCAAACCAAGTTTCATATTGATAGCATTGATAGTTTAAAATCATCCTACTCAACATGCAGACAAAAAACTCTAAGTCAAAAAGGGGCATAACTCCTAAAACGTTACTTTCAGTATAAAGTCCCTTATCTTGTAACTTCATCTTATCATGATCTTAAGAGCTACAATTTTCTTGTTGATACCCTAAAAACTGTTTGAAAAAGAGGTACATTAAAGTTTCGAACGAAGACAAAGGACAACAAAGCAATCATAATAGCTCACTGTTTTTTCTCCGAAACTCAAAAATATCTAAAGCGTATGATTTTCTGACACAAAAAGTTTCAATTTAAGTTACTAAACAGCAAACCCTATCTTGTAATTGAAAATTTATATACATATGTTCTAAGTACTTACCATATTATGTTGTACTAGATATTTGAGGACTTCTCTAACACCAGCTGACACGAGATTGGACGTGTAACTAAGAAATATAGTACAGTTAGTCTGTGAACGACCAGTAGGATGCAGGTTTAAATCCTTCAAGTTTTCCTTTGCAACACATTTCAGTTTACAATCAATCTAAAAATAATTCATAAAACATAAAATAAACATATAAAAGTGCACAATGAAAGACAAAGATCAACATATCAGTACCGAAAATTTGTTTATTCTTTTTTTGTTCAGTGCTTTTAACAATAATAATGATATCTGTCGTATATTGTGGTTCGGATCGGAATATCTGTCCCGAGGGGACCCGTACATTGGGTGGTAACGAGGCTTGCCGAGTTACCGCCTCCCATACAAACCACAAACATGTCTCAGATATTTTTTCTTGCATTTTCTACCATATTCCATTATATTTTAAATTCTTTACCTTAATTTAACAATTTTTTAGTGGAAAGTTAGGTCATTACACCCTTAACTACACTTCATAACTTACAACAGCGTATGAAATTACAACTTCATTCATAACGTTAAAATTACATTATCCTAAGCACACCATTGTATAGCATGTGACTCATCTGGCACCCTCTATGCCAGATGAAATTTCCAGCATGGCTTAAACTAACGGAAATGCCAGTATGGTATGAAAGAAAATACCAGGTGCACAGGCATATGATAATAAAAAGTCCCTGACAGGAATCAAAGCCAAAGTGGTGGGGTAAGTGCTCTAAAGTCAACAATCTTAACCACTCAGTTACATAGGCCCTAAGCTGCCATCTTTAAGAAAAAACTTATCACCCAAATGACCGAACAACACTGCCAGTTCAATATCCCATTATTATAAGTTCAGAATAAATTCTTTTATTACACAACAAACTGCTGTTATTTACCATTTTGTTGATTTCCTCCACTGCCTTGCCGAAGTTTTGAGCTTGAAACCCTGACCGTGCATATGATTGTAAAAGTTTGTGATAGTCAACTCCCTCATTGAAATCATATCCTTAAGATAAAGAAACGCATTAATATCATCATGTGATTTGAGGAACTACACATAAAATCTTATATCGAAACACAGGTCTACGACAGCACTGTATGTTAGCTCCTAAGACAATTTTTCTGAGGTCTAAATATCCTTTATTCACAATACAGTCTAAAAGATTCAACTCTTGAAGAGTCTCTCAAACAATATGAAAGCTTTGTTGAATAATCATTGCTTTGCATAATCAATTTTGATACAAATCTCATTTGTTCGTTTTTCAGATTTTCACACAGATCTTAACACTTTTTTGGTCATATCTTAGCCGTCAATCCATCTAATTAGATTTCCTGGATAACTAACCAGTACTTACTAATTTCTATGTCTGTCATAAACAACTTATCCCACATAATCTACACGGAGTTCAATGCCACAAGGTTTTATATTTTATTCAGAAGATTTATTATTTCAATAAATTTGACATTACAATATCATTTTAGACCTATCCTCAATCAACATAAATAAGTTTTTATACAAATTTTAGCAGCATAATTTTTTCAAAGCTTCATGATACCATTTTTGTCTTTAATTGGGGTTAACATGCTCTAAGGAAAGCGGTTGCCTAGCGGTAAAGGTGTCTGCCTCTCTACTCAGGGATCATAGGATTTAGCCCAACTTTGGTCACAACCAGTACTGGTTAGTTCCAGGAAGGGACTTCAAGTTTGAGAGGTGCCCAAATAAGATACAAGCTTTCTTCACAAGCTAGTGAAATATCAAAACTACATCACAATTCCTCCCTTATCTTATTTCTTAAAGCACTATTCACCATTTGACATGGCTAAATTTGTAACAGTTAGTTAGGGTTGAACCATTTTATAATAAAACACACCTTTTATTGTTGGAGTGTCATCTGGAAGAGATTCACTTTTCACCAAAACAGCTTCAGTGGCAAGACTAGGAGGCTTATCATCTACAATAAAAACATAATTATAAATTTTGTTATTATTCTCGATTTCATTTTGGAAAGGAAATATTGCATGCTAAAATTGGAAAAAACATCTTGGAAATCAATGCAGTCTGACTGCAATTTCAAAGCTCTTGTACTGTTGCCCGACTAACTTTAAATATATATTTTAATATTCCCAACACTGATAACAGGCGGTTCCTAGAAAAGAAGTTAGACAAGTCCATTTAAGAAATTCTGCAGATTAAGTTTTGAATAAAATCAAACACCTACTGTGATTCTCACAGCTTGTGGAGACAGAAAAAAATCTGTTAAAATGTTTTATCTATAGGTCTGTTACTATTATAGGTCTTGATGAAACATCTACAATTTATTTAGGTCCTTGAAGTCATGTGTGAGGTTATAAATTAATTTGATTAAAATTCATTGAAAAGTTCTTTTGAACTTAAAACCTCAAAGTATTACACCAACACCAGGCATTGATGAGCTAAAGAACATTTTTTCACAACTGGCTAAAACGTTATATTTTTTCATATGCCATTCACATTTCCTTTTTTAAGTATAATTATATCATTACCTTTGACCCCTTTCAACTGTATAATCAACTTGGAAACAAGGACTAAATACTCATCCTGAAAGGAATAGCAAAATTGATGTTCTGGTTTAAATGATTATATTTCAAAGGCTATCTAAACACAGCAAATATACTTATTTGAGAAACCATACTTCAAAAATTTATTCCCATTTGAAACCTATACCAATATGTAATTATGTTACATACTTTAACCCTTACCTACATGTAAATATCAACGTAATTGTCTATCATTTAATATGGACAAAGCCAATCATCATTTTGAGGGTAAATTCTTCAAAGTCAAGCAAAAAATTTAATGTTCCATGAGAGTTAATCTTGAAATAAAGACAAAAATATGCATGTATTTATTTATTACCCTACTCTTGGCTTGGTCAAACAACTTTTTTTCTAGTTCTTCTGAAGACAGCTCATTCGAAGTTGATGAATTCTGTTTTGCATCATTTCTGGAGATAAAACAAAATGACAGTACTGTAGATAATAATATATTCAAATCAATTAAGTGTGACAAAAAAAACAACTGGAAAACATTTTTTTACTTGCATGCGAGGAGTTTCTGTACAAAAATGGTAGTTACTTAAACATTATTTTTTCATTATGATCGGTCATCAGAAAGTTCAATGTTACACTTTAATATTCTGCTTGTCACCCAAAATTATGGAAATTCCATTATGTTCTAAACATAAAATAACCCTTAGTTATGAGGCCTCATATGGGGTACCAAAATAATACATTATTTTGTATGAAGAGAAGGAGTTTCCGTACATAAAATTTAACCCATTTGATTATGATTATAGAATGTTGTTATATTAGACCTATTTTTCATTTAAAATTTTTAAAGAGACCAGTTTCCTAGAGGATGGTAGATCTAATTCAGAATATACAGTGTAGACTGAACGCTGGTATTTATTAACCGGTACCAGTACCTCAAACTATTCACATGCAATGGCGTCCTTCCAATGATATTTTAATCATTAAAGCCATAAAATTATTAAATTTAAATATTGTAATATAGCCTATAGGTAAAAATCCTGCTAATTAAACAGGTTTCATCACATTGCCTTACTTATCTATACACAGGTGGTATTAGGGGAAAACCTTTTAACATGCCTCACATGTAAGTACTTTTGCGCATGTGCGCAAGGATGGAATCCCCTAAAGTTAACAAGGTCATGTTTTTTCAAAACACACATGATTTAAAATGAAAGCTTTTTATACATATGGCCAAACTGACACTTAGATTTTGTCTTGTTTTTACATCTGCTTTATATTATTTTTTAATGAATGCGAGTAAATATCAAGCGTTTAAACAAAAAATATGGGTACTGCTTCTGTACGGGAACTGCTTGCATGCCAGTAGGCATCTAAGGTATTGTTAATTTAATGATCATTTAATTCATATGATATCATTTAGTTCAGTTTATAATGAATGTATTTTACTTTGAGCTGGAAGCTATAAGCTTATAGAAACACTCTTGAATCTGTTACTGGAAACAACCAGTACAAAGCAATAATTTTCTTTCTGAAAGGGATGGAAACAACAAAGCAAACAATCTTGAAATAACTTTGTTCCCATGTTTGCAACATATTGGCATCCTGCATCGTTACCAATTTCCTATAATGCTGTATGAAATGATTAATATAACTAGGAAGTATGGTAAAATATTTTCTGAACCACACATTCAACAAATAAGTACAAGCCTGTAGCTGCTAAATTATACTGCCAGGCTTTATCCAGCTGGATTTTTTTCTTATGGCTCTTCTTTGAATGTTTTCAAACTTAAAGTCATTGAATAGGGACCAAGTTTTTTTGTTTTTTTTTAAATTTAAATCAACAACTCGGACGAAAGCATGCAATTTGATAAACTGTTACCCAATATCACTGAAGCTGACTAGTATGCAGCATTTTATCGGTTAACAAATTTGTTTTAAAGTTACTGGTTTCCTAGCAGTTTCCGTCCCCTAGCAGTTTTCCGGTGGAAATTTATGCACAATAACTAAGACCCAATTTTAGGTAAATCAATATTTCTGAAAATATTTTTGCAGACAAAATGGAAAATGTTGGGAAGTTCTTTTTGTCTGATAAAACCATCTTAACATTGCTTTATTGTACTGAATTATATTCAAAATAAAAAAGGTCCAGAAAACTGCTATGAATTTTTGAATAAAGGTGAAAAAAGGAGTTACATTTCAGGCCTATATTCAAATTAAAAAGTAAAATGAAAGTCAGTGCAACATTAAACACATGGCAATGCTGGACAGGTACCTTCAACTTCAAAGGGGTTACTTGACAATATCCACGAGGTAGACATCAACATCGAGGAGGTGAAGACTGTACATCGGTGTAGAGTGGCGTGTTCCGACATAAATTTTTAAAACTATATTACACAATTGTATCACAACTGTCCCATGACAAACTGATGTTCCAATCTACACCCTAAAAGGTCTTGTGACCAACATGTATTTACACTTTAAAAGGTGGTGTCCATTTAAACATATGATGGTACGACTGGAACGAGCTGGATGGAAGATATAAACGCCTCCAGGCTCTCAGTAGTAACATAATATTCCAGGTAATAACAGTTCTTGGAAACAAGAGCTGTCCGTAAGACAGCGCGCTCGACTTTTTTATTGCTTGCCAATAAAAAAAGTTTTTGCAGTAAAAGGCAATACAAGAATCTCTGTATTTTTAAAGTGAACTAGTTGTTTGATACCCTTGAATATTACAGCAATGTTTATATGACATAATTTATGGTAAAGTGAACAAGTGGATAGGAATGAATTTTTTTAGATTTTTTAAGTTTTTTAGTGCTTGCCTATAATACAAAACATTGACAGTTAAGGGCCATAATTCAAATAAAATCTTTGACAGAATTACCTTCTCCTGGACATGTTTGGGAATCATGATTGTAAACAAGTATTCCAACTTTCAAATTAATATCTCAAACAGTTCAGTGCAAAAAGTGGACTGGTACTAAAAACTTAACCAAGATTCTAAGTCGATAAAAGGCCTTAATTTTTAAAACAAATCCTTGACAGAGTTACCTTCTCTTGCGTACAGATGGGGGTAATGATGTGAAATAGCATTAAAAGTTTCAAAGCAATATCTCAAAGGGTTAAGGCAATAAGTGGATTTTACCCATATTCAATGTATTTTCTAAGTCAAAAAGGGGCATAATTCTGTCAAAAACCTTGACAGAGTTATGTCCTCTTGTCTGTTGATGAAGGTCGTGATGGTAAACAAGTATGGTCAGTTTCAAAGCAATACCTCCAATGGTTTTGAAATAAAGTGAGGTGGTACAAAAAACTTAACCAAGCTCAATACACTTTCTAAGTCAAAAAAGGGCCATAATTCTGTCAAAAACCTTGACAGAGTTATGTACTCTTGTCTGTAGATGGAGGTTATGATGGTGAACAAGTATGGTAAGTTTCAAAGCCATACTTGTAATACTTCTGAAATAAAGTGGGGTGGTACGAAAAACTTAACCAAGGTGTGACGCCAACGCCGACGCCGACGCCGGGGCGAGTAGGATAGCTCCCCTTTTCATAGAAAAGTCGAGCTAAAAATGAGTGTTGATAAAATTTAATGTTGATTCTAGATTGAACTGGGATGAATTTCATACTGTGACTTCTTCGGGTTGAACAGACGGTGGCAATAGTGGGATGGTATAAAACTGGCACAGCTATTAAAAAGTTAACTACTTTGTACATGAGAGTCACATCTGCCCATACTCTACGTTGTTGAAGACTGGGCCATTGTAATTTATTTATCAGTTCAGTTACACTAGAAGGATTGTGTGGGTTATACGGTCTATTCAATACCCATCTCGCTGCGTTTCTTTGGACCACAGGGGATTATGTCATTTTTTTCCTTTCCCACTATATAAATAATATAACAAGGGATACAACTCAAAATTGCTCAATTTACGAAAAAATAAATACAACGCAGAATACAACAGATTTTTTTTCTTTTTATTGTTGGACATTGATAATAGAATCGATAATTTTCAAAAAAAAAAGACTCACTTTGTTACATGGACAAGATATTATTAAAAATAAGCTTTCATGTTTCATTTTTACACACTTTCGTAAAATTTGGGTTTGTAAAATTACACACGTGTGTAAAACGACATCTAATGCAAACGTATGCTCATATTTATAAGAAAGTTTAATCATGTAGTCGGTTAAATATCAATCATCCACCACCATCAATGATGCAATCATTAACTTCTGGTACAAATTATTGTAACAATTTCTGTTTGTTTTGATAATTTCTATCCTCGGCTTCCATTTTGATGTTGCCCGTATGTTCCATGCGTTAATCCAACTTCTGTTAGTGACTGTCAATTTCATTGGCTAATGAATAATAATAATCCAGATAATAATGGCGTATAGCCGCGACGAAGAGCTGTTTTTTTCACCAGCCAATGAAAATACTCGGTACATAAACACACCTTTAAAATGGACGACAATTTGACAGCCAATGTAAATATTGAAATGTTAGCTATTTCCTGCAATGTTACAGGTTTTAATGAAGTGTTTGTAGTAGAGCTTGGGTAATGACTCGTTCATATAATATGAAAAAGGCAAAGCCTCAAAGCGAGCTCGATGTACTTTTAACGTGAAATAGTATGAAATAATCGCTCATTTTTATTTCAAATGCAGTGACGAGTGCGTGTGACATTACACGTACTGTGTTGAATATGGCTCTGCCCCTGTCGTTAAATGAATAACGAGTTTTGATAACGTTGATAAAACTTTGTTTATTTTATTTCACTCCAGGGCTCTCAGTAGGGTCAGAATTTCACGAGTCAAAGACTCTTTGGCCAAAATTTTCATGAGTCAAATCAATTTTTTCTAGTGTCATTTGACTACATGAATCATTTTTATGTTACAAAAATGACTGTTTTGGAGGTCATTTTGCGTAGATTCCAAAGTCTTGATTGATAGAAAAAATGCCTAATTATAAATGTCTACTAAGCCCCTCACCCCCTCTAAAAAACAAAAAATGAATTGCTGTGAAAAAATAAAATAAGCAGCAGCTTTTCTGATTACAGTAAATGTATAAAATATAAAAAAATTTTATCTTTACTGGTACAGTAAAGACTGTTTACAGTGACCTTCGATGGGAGAAAAGAAAAAAGGTCATTATAGACAGGGAGTCACTGTGGACAGTCTCTACATAATTCGGATATATGAACATATCATACCAATATTTTGTTGAAAAGCAGGATAGTACCATACTAAGGGTTTAATTATATTTTTATTGATATTAAACATATCAAATATCATTTATAAAAAACAAGAGAATATTAAAAGTGCATGTATTATTGGTTAAGATTATAAACTACACAATCACATTAGTATTTAAAAGTTACATATTCTTTAAAATGTAATTTATATTGATAAATCTGTTTGTAAAAAATGTTTAATTTCAATTTTACTAATGAGATGTTACTGTAGAGACATTTAATTTTGTATAATCAGCCTGTTTACTTTACGGAGCTCAATGTATTAATAAAACAAAAATAATAAAAAAAAATTACAAATCTTCACATAATTTCTACAGATAAGTGCTCCGAAAAAAAATTAACAATCGAGGTTTCAAACATAACCACACCTTTAAGACGTTTGGCATTGTTTATCTTTACTCGCCAAAACACCGCAGCAATTATGTATATGCAGGTGTCTTTAATCATTCTATCGGCGAAAATTGATTGAATCTGTCGCCATTTTGTGTAATTGTCAACAAACAGCCACAGTGTATTAGCGTGTCACCGATTGGTCAATGCAAACTGCCGTAGATACAACCCGCGTTCTGATTCGTCAATCGCATGAATACGTAATAAGAAAGATAAACATAGTGAACTCTTGCCTTGCGGCGTGTATTTAACTTTGTTGATGTTGACACGCGTTCTTAATTAGCGGATTAACGGTAATTGGTTGTAATTGAGAGGTAAACAAATTATTAACAGACCTAGCGGCGTAAATAAGTATGACGGAAAATTATAAAAATCGGGCGACTTCAAAATCTATTTGAAGTTTGTTTTAGGCAAAGTCGCTGATCCGAAGGCGACTTCTTCGCCAATGTCGTCACCTAATTCAAGCCTTGCTCCCCTTACAAAAGTCGCTGTTCACGGGTGACTAAATCATGGTCGTTGTACGGACTAGACAGGGAGTCGCTACATACAGACCATTTATATAGTAAATACTGTTCGGCGCACCTAACTATGGTCACTAAAGACAGAACGTCGCTATATACAGGGGGTCGCTAAGACAGTCTTTACTGTACTAGGAATATTTAATTGAAAAGAAATCACAAATGAACCGGTACTCCAAGTAAATCAAAGACGTATTATAAACCTTTAAAAGCAATCAATAATTGACACCTCAAGTATGTAATTCTTATCAGTTGTGTAGAGCTATTTTTAGCGCTGTCAAATTGCAGCCACTGAATTGTCGCGCTTCAGTGCACAGGCTATAAACAATTGCCGTGTGTAAAGGATTAACCGATTTTATACACGGCTTATACTGTCTGTTGACATTTTTAATGAGTGTGATTTGAACATATGTAGGATTTGATGGGTAATTAGGGGTGGATTTAAGGTAATTATTATTGCATTGCTGAAAATCCCATGTGGCAAATTGACTCTTGAGGAGATTTTATCACGTGTCAAATTTGTGCATTTCCTGATTTTCACGAGTCAAAACCCGGATCCCCGTGTCAATCGAGAGCCCTGCACTCTATATTTTTTCAAGCGAAATAAAGATTATTAAAAGTGAAATAAATGTAAAACTTAAAACGTTTGCGACATTAAAATAGCGTACTTGATTTTTTTGTTTTGCACGTGCTGTTTGGCGCTACATTGTGACGTCACGTAAACAATACTTTAAACGTCTGTACAGCGTTAACGACTGAATTAAAGATATTGGTGTTCGCATTCATTTTCTTAGTTAGACCATTTTCTTTCATTCTATATAGTTTTCACAACAAAATTCGACAAAAAATTGTTATTCATTTAACGACAGGGGCGGAGCCATATTTAACACAGTACGTGTAACGTCACACGCACTCGTCACTGCATTTGAAATAAAAATGAGCGATTATTTCATACTAACTCACGTTTAAAAGTGCATCGAGCTCGCTTTGAGGCTTTGCCTTTTTCATATTATTATATATATAGAGATTTAATAAAATAATGCTAGATTTCCGTGCTTTGGATCTGTTCTCAGTGGGGTTTTTTCTTTATTTAAGTACTACCCTAAAATGGTACTGTTCCTAATAGAAAATAGACATTAAAATTCCCAATTTCCAATGTTCAAATCGGAAAATTATTATAAATTTACGATTTCACCACACACTGACACTATTTTTGAAGTGTCGCGAAATCCTATGATATTTGGATAAAAACACAAATTAAGTTAATTGCTAGGACTGAAGGTATAAAAGACAAATTTTGCACATTAAAAAAGAAGAGTGTCAAACATCACAATTTACTTACATCCGTTCAGTGATCATACAACGGAGCGATTCCGTGTGCCACTCTTCAGTGCTCGCCATGTTGTTGTTTTTTTGTTATTTTTAACGAATACTTTTTAAAAAACGGAACATCTAGTCATCCATCTCGGTCAGACTAAAGTATTATTTTTCCCACATGGAATATATATATACATATTATAAGGTTATGACTAAAATCTCATTTTAAGGTCACCTCAAGCAGTATTAACTATCCAAACACCGTGTGGGCCCCCTGTGATTTTTCCAATAAATCAACCTTAAAATTGAGTAGGTGAGACTGGGGCACTCTGGGACAAAAATCATATTTTTCAATCTCCTACTTAACATATCTTAAGTGTTATGATATTGAGTTATTTTATATTCATATGACCTTTAACCTTAATACTCATTTCTGTAAATTTCCACTGACCACGTTGTGCCTGCAGAATGTTATATCCTGGGAGATTTCCCGCCAATGCATCAGTCCAGATCATAAAACTGACTAGAACACACTTGTGTCTTTTCTCTTATTATATTCACATTTGTGAATCGCATGGACCAACTTTAATAGTATATAAGATATTCAAAGAATATAACATTAAGGATTGATACTCTCTTTCGTGGATGAAAAGGAAAATTAATATGTACTGGATGCAGCAGATAACTAACTGAACCTAAAATAATTAAGTTGACTTGGAGATATACATTAGACTACGGTCATTAAAATGTCCCAGAGTACCCCGCGCTAGGGGCACTCTGGGACACCATATATGGTACAGTGGGACATGCTTGGGTACGTAGGACAACATGTATAATTTAATTGAAACGAAATTTTACTGGAATTGAAAATCTGCGGTTGTTTCAAAAATCTAGATGTTCCAGTGCATGTTAAATGTGGAATTCTGCTTAAGCCGGTTGGGGCGGGGGAGGGGGCGGTTAACTGCACGTTCCATTACTGTTTATGAACAGGCTTGAAATCAAACTGAGCCTGCAACATTTTCAATTTTGCTGTTTTGGGCTTTCTATAGGAATTCTATCGAAATTTCTCTATTTTTTTCTTATTTTTATAGGTGCTTATAGTCACACTTGTTTTGTCCAAGCATGAATCATTGATATATTAATGAATGACAAAGTTAGGAAAATATAATCTAAATTCATTCATTTGACGTTCATTGCGGTTTAAAGGTCAAGAACATATCTAAATTATTCCATATGTTTCTTTGATCACAAGTGTAACGTTTTGTCCACATATGAATCAAATTCTTCCATAATGACAAATTATGACAATAAAAGTTCAATAATTTGGCCATGACGGTCAAGGTCATTCAAAGGTCAAGGTCAGTTCATCCTTTCAAAATATCTTGCCCAAAATTTTGTTTTGCCAAAACATGAAGATAATTCATTTATTAATTACCAAGTTACAATCAATTATGGCAAAAATCAGTGAAAGTGCAATAATTTAACGGTCAAGGTCATAAAAGATCAAAGGTCAATTTGAGTTTGATACACATGAAAGTCTAATCCAAAAGAATGTTGTCCCAGAGTACCCCAACTACCCCGCCATTTTTATGTGACAATAACTTAAAAAGACAACCAAACCAAGATTTATTTCAAATCAGAAAATAAAGGCAATGTTTAGCACATTATCATTTACTAATATGATATAAATAAGTATCCAATATAGAAGAATTTAAATGCTATATAGGACTTTTCTAGAATTTCACTTTGAAAGGTAAAAAGTGCATTGTACTCGCCAGACTGATTTTTACTCAATTTGCTGCTATGAAACTTTTGAAGGGAAAAATCTTGACATGATCAATCATCTGCATAAATCAGGTTTAAATCAAAGAACAAAAGCTATCAAAAAATCCCATTGTCCCGCAGTGCCCCATGTCCCAGAGTAACCCAGTCTCCCCTATTCATGTTAAAGATGTGATTTTACTAGAAGAATGACGTACATGCATGCATGACACATTAAACTGATCTTGTTATATAGGTTTGACAGACCTAATTTTTCGCAAAATGTCCTAGCCTATAGACATTACATTTTCATGATTGCCTGTTTGTTACATCAAAATCAAAACAAGAAACAAGGTCGAACTGTTTATAATTATAAAAAGGCAGATTGGCAAAAACTTAAAGATCTGACAAATGAATTTAAATCGGACTATCTAGCTAAAAATCAGAATAACAGTGTAGACACAAACTGGGTCAACTTTAAAGATACGCTTTTCAGAAACATGGACAAATGTATTCCAACTAAAAAACTGAAAAATAAACAAGATATACCATGGTTGCATAAAGATACAAAACGAATGCTCCGTAAGAAAAAGCGTCTGTACTAACGTGCGAGGAAAACTAAATCGCGTGAAGATTATGAGGAATTTAAACTTTTCCGAGTGAAAGCAAGGAACAAACTGCATAGTGACTATCATAAATATTTGAACAACCTATTAGACCCGGAACAAGACTCAACATCGAAGAAATTATGGAAATATATAAAAGCCCGAAAACAAGATTCAGTCAGTATAGGCACATTGAAATCTCAGGGTGTTATAGCAGATAGTGCGGAATCGAAAGCCAACCTTCTAAACAGTCAATTTAGTTCGGTATTCACAAATGAAAACTTAACAAACATTCCAGATAAGGAACAGTCCCCATACATACCTATGAATGATATTATCATCTGTGAACATGGAGTAAAGAAATGTATTGAACGGCTAAATGAACAAAAAGCTAGTGATCCGGACAAAATTCCCATTATGGTGTTGAAAACATTAGCATTAGAACTGGCACCCATTATGACTAGTATTTTTCAGCAATCATTGTTAACTGGTGAAATTCCTCTGGACTGGAAACAAGCTAATGTAGTTCCTATTTTCAAGAAAGGTGATCGACCAAAACCTGAAAACTACCGTCCAGTTTCTTTGACAGTTGTTGTATCAAAAATTCTTGAACATATAGTAGTGTCACAAATTATGAATCATCTTGATTCTCAAAGTATTCTACATGAAAATCAGCACGGATTTCGCTCGAAAAGATCTTGTGAATCACAACTCTTAATGAGGAACGATAATATCGCAAAAGCACTAAATTCCGGTACACAAGTGGACATGGCAATCTTAGACTTTTCTAAAGCATTTGATAAAGTAGAATTCTCATAGTCGTTTATCACACAAACTAGAGTATTACGGTATTTCCGGCAATACTAGGCGTTGTATTGATTCCTTTTTATCTAATAGAACACAACAAGTAGTAGTGGACAACGCTTCATCAGATATAGCCTCGGTAACATCTGGTGTAAAAAGCAAGAAAAAGCTTACATTAGTTTGGTCAGACCTAAACCAGAATACGCTTCCCCAATATGGAATCCGTTACAAAAGACTCAAGTTAAACAGATAGAACAGATCCAAAGAAACGCAGCGAGATGGGTATTGAATGGACCGTATAACCCACACAATTCTTCTAGTGTAACTGAACTGTTAAATAAATTACAATGGCCCAGTCTTCAACAACGTAGAGTATGGGCAGATATGTGACTCTCATGTACAAAGTAGTTAACTTTTTAATAGCTGTGCCAGTGTCATACATCCCACTATTGCCAACGTTCGTTCAACCCGAAGAAGTCACAGTATGAAATTCATCCCAATTCAATCTAGAATCAACATTTATCAACACTCATTTTTCCAAGAACTGTTAATACCTGGAATATTATACCGGATTCTTGTGTTACTACTGAGAGCCTGGAGGCGTTCAAATCTTCCATCCAGCTCGTTCCAGTCGTACCATTATATGTATAAATGGACACCACCTTGTAAAGTGTAAATACATGTTGGTCACCAGATCTTTTAGGGTGTAGTGTGGAACATCAGTTTGTCATGGGACAGTTGTGATACAATTGTATAATATAGTATTAAAAATTTTATGTCGGAACACGCCACTCTACACCGATGTACAGTCTTCACCTCCTCGACGTCGGTATCTGAAGTTGAAGTTGAAGTTCATCCCTGATATCCTGATTGAATCTTACGGTTTTTGCAGATAATGGCTGGTTATGTTACAGTCCTGACTTCCGGCCTCTAAGAAATTTGGCTACAGGAGCAAACAATCATGTCAAGATCATGGCTCAAAAATGATGTTTTTCTACTTTAGAAAGGGCAAACATGAGTTAGAATTTTTTTAAAAAGTTTAAAGAATATTTTTGATTACAGTATATTAAATTGTTATTACCAAAGTAATATTAGGCTGAATGTGAAATTATGTATCATAGACAATTGAAAATTGAAGGGAAATTTACAACATATATGAATATATACCACCGGCCACGAAGTTGAAGACAAGATATGTATATCATAATCAAATCAAGCGCTATATAATCAGGCCGATATTTAAAAAATATCAGGTCAATTGTGTTCAATTATAGTTGTTCATTCAGTTCAATAGTTGTACAATCAGGTCAACAGTTGTACATTCAGTTCACTTGTTGTAAAATGATGCTATTAGTTGTACATTCAGTTGAATATCAAGTCAATAGTTGTGAACATAGGTCAATTTTGAACAAGCAGGTCAATATTTATAGATTCAGTTCAAAAGTTGTATGCCAGCTCAAAAGTTATACAATTAGCTCAATAGTTGTACAAGAGGTAAATAGTTGTAAAAGCTGGTGAATAATATATATTTAGGTCAACTTTGTATATTCATGTCAATAGTTGAACATACAGCTCAATAAATGCACTTGTAACGTTACAATCACGTCAATAGTTATGAATTTAGATCAATTTTGTACGAAAGGTCAATAGTTACATGTATACATTAAATTCAATAGTTGTCAATTCAACAGTTATACAACCAGCGCAAAAGTTGTAAAATCAACTCAACAGTTGTACAATCAGCTCAATAGTTGTACATACAGTTCAATAGTTGAACAATCAGGCCAAAAGTTGTACATTCAATCAATATCTGTACATTCAGGTCAATAGTTGTAAAATTAGGTCAATAGTGGTACATACAGTCCAATAGTTGTACAGTCAGCTCAATAGTTGTACAATCAGCTCAATAGTTGTACATACAGTTCAACAGTTGAACAATCAGGCCAAAAAAATGTACATTCAGGTCAATATCTGTACAT